TCTGTTGTTGTTGAGTCAAAGCCCTTTCAGTGCTCTCTGTTACAGCACAGAGAAGAAACATTTTGGAAATTAAATATATGGTCAACAGGGTACCCTATGCACAGCCTAAACACGCTCCCAGGTGCTCACGGTTGCAGGACCAAATCATGAAAAGGTAAAGTTATTTTCAGTGTGTCACGGACTTCTGATTGTGGAAATGAAGTTTATAGTGAAGGACTGGTTAGTTCCTTAAACATGGAGAGTCATTGATAATGAAGATGGATAATGATAATGAAGCGTCTTCTGAATGCATAGCTGAGAAGCCGGCATGTTGTTTTTCCTATACGTCATCATCATAAACTCAGTTCAAGTCATTGGACAACATCCTGAAGTCTTCTTTCTGTGTCGTTACCTCTTGGATATTATGCAGTATATGCCTTGATTCTCTAAGCAATCTTGTTGCATTGTTGCAATTTTCCTTGATAAAGGAGAAAATGAAGAAGACCTAAGTTTGAAAGACCTGCCCTAAAAGCCGTTTAAAGTAGGCTTTGCTAGTTCTATAATGTGCCTTTAAACTCAAATACCTGGCTGGCAAAATAATCCATATGTTTATGGAAAGCCCTGATGATATGTCTTTTTTTCATTCCATCCAGAAGTTATATATCAGCCACCATGTCAGTAATCATTTAGCTTATCCCTCTTTGTAATCAGTATCTGCATAGCCTCTGCACATGGGGCTCAAGACATAACCGCGAGGTCATTAGCGCCTCTTCAAAGCTATTTTTTTACTTACTATAGGGTATATTCTTGCTGATTAATGGCTGAATATCTGAATGTCAGACTCAGTAATAACAAAACATAGAACGATAGTAATAGAAGTTTCCTGATTTAGTTGCTTCCAATTGCAATTGTCTCCGACCCAAAACTCTATGAGGATGTTAACATTCCCACAATATAGGGAGGTACAATTGCCATGAAAGTAGAAGCAGTAAAATGGTGCAACCCATTGATAATTTTTGTGAAAAGTCTGTGATGTTTTTAGCCAGAACTACAACCTGCTTATTCAATGTTGAGTAACAGTTCAGAGGTGATGAACTCTGAGTTTATCTTCTCACCGTGGGCGTCTAATCTGGTCACCATAGGTGGCTCTAAGCATATACAGGACACTCCTCCCATTGTGGCTGTTATGCTAATGAAAATGTGTGTGTGTGTGTGTGTGTGTGTGTGTGTGTGTGTGTGTGTGTGTGTGTGTGTGTGTGTGTGTGTGTGTGTGTGTGTGTGTGTGTGTGTGTGTGTGTGTGTGTGTGTGTGTGTGTGTGTGTGTGTGTGTGTGTGTGTGTGTGTGTGTGTGTGTGTGTGTGTGTGTGTGTGTTTTAGAGGAGCCAGTTGCATAAAGCTCCATTAAGTGATTACCCTCCACCCACAGCTCCAGTTTAGCACCACACCATGCCATTTGGTGGTCAAGCACCTCATCCCCATTGTCAATAATGTGTGTAGGCTTTTGTGCATGTGCATGCAAGTGTGCATTTATACATGTGTATGCCCTGGCTGACACGGGCTATTGATTATTCAAATTCTTTTTGTGGCGTTAATTACAAGCCAAAGAATGTTTTGCCGTCACACACACAGGCCATATGACTCCTCTGTGACTGTTGGTATCTGAGTCAAGCCTCTGCTAGATTGCCAGGGGGAAGAGGTGGCTCATCACTGTGCCCTTATCTGTGTGAAGGGACATGGGAAAAGCATAGAGTAGAGATGGAAGGGCAGCACCGATGATTAAGTAGAGCTCTATTGAACTTGAAACACATTTTTATATGAAGCAGTTAGCTTTAATGTGCAGAAATGTAACCAGCCATACCTGGGCGATATGACATAAAATATTATCACATTAAAAAATGTAATATCAGTCGACATCAATAATTATCACAATAAATGTCAAATCATTTTTTCTTTAAGAATAAAGTTGTTTTTTTTGTATCGAGTGAAAGTTGGGAAACCAGATGGTTTATTGTGTTTCAATGATTATTTATTGTCAGAACATGACGAACATTTCACCATCATGAGCATAGTGCACGGTGCCGGAAAAACGCTGATAAGACAGTTTGCTGCTGGGGAGTAACACTTACTGGCCCGCTGCTTGCTGAGGGTCCACTAACACTTGTTTGGGACGTTTTTTCATTTATTTTCTTCGCTGTTTTCTAACGGTTGATATTGTTTCATAGGGTGGAAAAGGTTTGTGGTGTTGTCAGTTTTAGCTGCACTTGTCTTCGGCTCAGTACACAGATCACATTACTCTGCTTTTTGTCAGACTGTAAATATCCAAAATATATCCAAACTCCCAAGTTTGAGCATCCACCTATTTTGCTGCGACATGATTGGTTGTTTGTCTTTTTTTTCTTCTTCTTTTTGATGTCTGGTGGCATTAGCGCATTAGCAACCCTCCCCCACTTTTCCAGTGTTTGTTTGGTGTAATTACAGGTTTAATATATCAAACTTTTTTAAACATTTGTCACATTTATATGGAGAAAAATGATATTGTGATATTTATCGTTATCGTTTTATCGCCCAAGCCTACTGCTGAGCATCATCCAGCTTTACATTCATGTAACTAACTCTTTGTCTTCACCCCCATGGATGATAATTGACAAATATTGTAGCATTGCTGTTTAAGTATGACTCTTTCCAACGGAAACAAGTTTGTGGTGTATGTCCAGTTCCTTCCAATTTCAGATGCAGCTCAAGTTTAGTGTTAAGATAAGCCAAAATAGCATTCATATTACTGTCATGGAACTTGAAATGGAGTTGTGAAGCAAAAGGAGACTATGTAGAGGAGTGTATCATCACTAGAAAACAAACTTCCCCACTTAGCTTCCCCACATCTCTTTCTCTCTCTTTTTATCCTCTCCATCCTGGGTTGTCCCTAGCAACAGCAGAGACCCAGTGGCATGAAGACACATAAATTACTTTCATTTTTTTTTCTTTTCCTTGTTTGTTGTTTTGTTTTAAAGGAACATACAGCCCTGGATCATTTCTTCTCTGTTTTTAAGTTTCAGGTTACAGTACATTTGCTTCTTTTGGTGTGAATTCATGTGTTTTGATGCTCTAGTAGTGGCTCTGTGCTCCCTGAGCGACAGTATGACTGCCAAAATCTCAACACTTGTTTTCCTTGATCATCTACTTGAAATGTTAACGATGATTTTTTTTCCCTCAACGCCCACCAACCTCTCTCAGCTTGTTGCAACGTTGAAGCCGCTAAGTCCCGAGCCAGGCAGTGCTAGACAAACACCCTTGTAGCAAATTCCCAAGGCTTTATTTAATGTGCCAGATTATGCTAACGCTCAACTTCGCTAGTCTCACTCCTTCTCCTTCTTCTGCTGCATTTCAAAAGTCATAATCCAGGATAGTTGTCATTACATTTTTTTTCAAGTCTAAGTACTCTAGGAGTCTAGAGTCTCAATGCTCGACTTTCTGTCCCAACCCTTCTCACTCTACTTCACAGCTTGGTCAATGGGGCTTTTGTGCATTGAATTAATCAGGCCTATAGCATTGACACCGTCTTACCCCTGAGTCTAAGCCAAGGCACTTCTTTTCCATCCACTTTAAAACACCATCACAATTCCACTTCCTATTTGGTTTTCTAAGAGAAGCAGTGTCTAAATGGAGTCGAATCAATGGACACTTTTGTGCTGGGAGTAAACTGACAGTCAGATGAATGCTCAGGATCAGCTGAGAACCCTCCAAGGTCCAGGTTCTGTAAAATGCCCTGGATTGCGTTCACTGACTTTCTGAAAGATTTCTGAGGCGATTTCTTTGACTGAATTCAACTTCCTCTCGTCCCATGAGTGTCTCATCACAGACAGTGGAGTGTGTATATCTGTAGACTGTTAAGTATGAATACTAGTGAGGGAAGATGTTATGTCTATTTCTGACCCTTTACTTGATCCTATAATAAAAAATACTTATGGGAATACCCTGATTGGAAAGCTGGATGATGCTTGTCAAGAATAATTTATGTGAGACATCTGTACTTCAACATCCATGTCTTTTTACATGTTCTGTATGCTTGCATGAGAGTGCTACATGCTTGCTTGAGTTAGGACCGGCACATCTGTGATTTATCACCGGTGTCATGAACATGGCTGCAGTGGGAGTCTCTCCCCCATCCCCACACATCTATTTTTACTGGCGTATTGCTTACCAACCCACTGGAGACAGATTGATTGGGAGATAAGACAGATAGATCAAGAAATGGAAGAGCTACAAGGTATATAGCAAAGGACGGAAAGCCCTCTGTTGTCGACAAGCAGATGCCTGTAAGAATGATTGAGATCAGAAAGGTGATTTGCTATGAGCTGGAACTGTCTAGATACTTTAATTTATACAGTTTTAATCCTCTGATAGAATCATCTCCTATTGTAGCTGGATACATGTAAAAGAGACTTGTGAGATATCTAAAAGGAGAGCTAGACAGCAGTCAGATATAAGTAGAAATGTGCTCGTAAAGATAGAACCATAGAAGGAGGCAAAGTAGGCAGAATGTGTAAAAGAAAGAAAAGACTTTGTCTCTGCCGTGAAGCTGTTTACCATTTACACCACACTGGCCAACTGCCCACAGTCATTAAAGAGAGGTGCTAGAATCTCACAAGCTTCATGCCAAGCCGCCACACACACATTCACACACAGAGATATTTTCCCCCCTCACATATGGCCAGATCCCCCCAAAGTGCTACTATGATACCTCACACTCTACCTTAGTGTGAATGCAGTGAATGCATTAATGGATCTTCTGCCTTTGGATAATCAGCTTTTACATTATTTTCTTTTTCTCTCCACATTCCTTGTTTTAATTTTTTTGGGGGAAGTGAAGCGAGTAAATTGTTGCAATATCAGTAGTCGGTAGTTACAACTAAGCTTGGTAAATCAAAGAAGCTGAGAAGACTCTTGTGAATACAAATGTAGTTGTATTCTGTCTTATTCATGTTTTTCTCTAACTCCCCCTCTGTCTCTGTTCTGACTTCTAGGTACAACCCGTGCCCCCAGAGAAGGAGAAGTTACTGGGGTAGACTACAACTTCCTCTCGGTGGAGGACTTCCTGGAGTTGGAGAAAAGTGGGACCTTATTAGAGATTGGAACATATGAAGGTAAATCAAGATATCACACATTTTGCCTGGTGTATAGTATGTTACTTCAGTTGATGTGTTTTCTGTTTTGTGGGTTTGCGAACTACTCATACCTGAGGAGAAGTAGGAATCATTATAGGTCAACCAGATGTTTGCACCTGCTTAGTCTGCTTTTTGGTGGAAGTTTACCTTGAATCACTTGGCCCACTTTGCTCGTGCATCACAGGGTCAATTTTCTCTTTATTTTTCTCTTCCATAAAAAATTATGAATACTTGGCCCAACATAGAGGGTGTGACATCATTTTCGTGTTTTGCTGATATTGCATAAATTGACTTTGGTACTATAATAGCTCGTATTTTAAGTTCAGGGTATCTAGAACTTGAGCAATAATGGCAGTAAGCCATTTGCATATAGATACGGTTATGCTTTATTAACACAAATGCACTGGATGCTTTGACAGGCAGAAAGTAGAAATGCAAGCTTTTATATAAACAATAATGCACACTGTACCAGCACTTAAACCTGACCATCCAGTGTATATTATAAAAAAGTAGAAGTGCTGTGTCCCAGACCAGGCCACTCAGCATTCTTTTTGACAGGTGCACCTGCTGGCCCAGCAGGAGGGAACCATACCCCCTCTTTACTTTCAGCCAGTGCTCAGAACAAGCCTGCCATCGACAACAGTCAAGTTTTTCAGTCCGTCCCTGAAGGTGAAAGAGTACATGCCTCGCTCTAGATTCTGTTTGCATTGACTGTCAACAACCAAATTGAAAGAAATGCAACGCTGAAGGGCAGAAAAGCTGTATTTACACATTGACTTGTTGACATTGTTGAGCAATGCAGCTGGAATTCATGTGTTTTTAGGAGAAGTTTTGGGATAAAAAAATTCTAAGTCTCTTTTTCATCACTCTGTCCACTATAAATTTAGGTCAGATAGCCCTCAGCAACATGTGTTTGTGTATTCCTGGGGATGTTGAAAGTAGCTTCCGGACATATTGGAAAACAGAAGCAAAGGTACAGCATGAGTAAAGTTAAAAAAAAAAAAAAAAGGAAAGTTTGTTGGGAAGTTGGAAAACGTATAGCTGCCAATATCGTGAGAGGATTTGTCTTTCATTTAAGAAAAACTAAAATGGTATGAAAAATAGATTTGATGAATTTTGATTAAACGATGGACTGGGAAGTTGTCAGTAACTGTTTGTTTGACATGTCTGTGTCGTTAAGCTCGTAACTTTGACACACAAACGCAAGAACATGTTTCAGGTCAGGTCCAGGTTTTTGGGACATTACATGATCGTTTAGGGTTTTGCAACCACACTGATATCACAGCCGTCTGATTAATCAACTGTATTGTTTTTTAATTTCTTCTGCACTGTATGCACCTAAAGCTGCTATGACTAAATGTGTTTTATAACCATCTGCAACTCTAGTCCACAAAAGCAAAAAGTTCAGTTATTGTGGCACGTGTCAGTAATTACACAGCACACAACACTTTTGCTTTGCTGCTTACAAAAAAACAATACTGAAGGACTGTAAACAACAACACTGCCATGTATCGCCTCCATTCACTCAGATATTGCCTAATTAAGTGCCCGCGGTGTCCACTTAGCCTGTTCAGTGTTCCATAACAATGGAGTTATCTCTGTATGTAAACACAGGGAAGTTATGGGATTTTGGTTTTGTGAAATACTATTTGAGTAATATATTCACCACATTGTAAGTTAAAGCAAAGCTGTCTTGGTTTGGAACTTTGTTTTTGCTTATCATGAATAAAATAATATGATTAAATACATTCATCATAAATAGTTTTAGTTTTCACTCTAGGAATGTTCTCACAGAGAGTGCTGGGCTCTTCATTTGCATACAAAGGCTAAAACTTAACCCCCTCCAACTCACACACAATCACAAAGCAATATGCACAGAACCCTTTGACCCCTCCTCTCTAACCCTCCTTCTAAATTCCTCGTCTTGTTCCTGTCTTCTTTTTTAATCCCCTCTCCATGTCTTCTTCTCGGTTGCCTAGGTAACTATTATGGGACCCCCAAGCCACCGGTGCAGCCCCCCGGCGGGAAAGTGATTAGTAATAGTGGTAGCGGCGGTGATGCCCCACTGCCAGACGGGCTCAGCAGTAGCCTGCCAGGCTCGCAGCCATCCACTCCCCGTCGCTCCAAGTCCTACAATGACATGCACAATGCTGGAATAGGGCCTGGAGAGCCGCAGCAGGAGGACGACGAGGACCTCCCTGACATGAACAGTAGCTTTACAGGTACGTACAGGGGTCTGGAGGGGGTTGAGGGGGGGGAAGTGGGTAGGAAAGAGTAGAAGAAAATAACGCTGATGATGTCACTGAATTGTTCATGCTTTGGTGATAACAAATCAATGAGAGAAAGTTAGCACTGTAAAGTTAAACACTGGACATTTACCAGATCACAGAGACCATTAGGTATGGGTCATTTAGGATCCAAGGTCTTTAGGTCCTGACCTTTGATAAGGATTAAACCGATATTTGGACCACTGCTGCTCTGTTTTACATTTCTTTGTTATCTATCATGGCTTAAGTCCTCCATCTCTATGCAGGTGCAGTGCTTAATAGCTTTTCGAAGTAATACTGTCTGTCTGATGTAATTTGTATGGGCACTGAAAAGTCTGAAAAGTCTTCATTATCTTTGTTGAGTTCAACCAAGATGTTTTTTCAGCTCAACGCTTTCACTATGTGAGAAGGGAAGTGACATCCAATAACTGGCGGTCAGTCAAGACTTCTCTCAAACACATTCTGTAACCAGGAGCAAACAGGAGTCTGTCTCCAAAGGATTACGACACAATATCTATTTATTTGGCTTTGAAATACTTAGTTGGAATTGGACTCCAAAGCTGGTACTATTCTTCAAATGTAATAATTTTGGCATCTTTGCACAGATGACAGCCAAAATGATTCACCACATTTAGCACTGACAAAGACTGTCTACTACTATGATTTCAGACAGGTTTGGATGTCCTCTCAAAACTCTACCAAATCTACAGTTATTGTTGACTTATTGTTCTATACAACACAAGCTATAATAGTACATTAACTTTTGTTTTACAACACTGACATGATGCCTCACATGCTTCTTCCGCTGGAGCAGACAGAGTAGAATGTGTTGAGCACACAGGCAGCTGCTTGCAGTGCCGACTGTAACAGCAGCCCGACAACATGCTGTGCTCTGTTTAGTTTAGTGTATAACACCAGACTGTGATCCTGCTTTCTGCAGCTCTGTTTGGAAGACAAAACGAGAATGTTGAAGTTGAGGTGGATAAAGTGGGCGGGGATGAAAGTGGAGGCAAGGTAGCAGAACATCAAGTAGAAAGAGGGTGGGGCTTCAAACGGTCTGAAAAGGATTGGACAGAGAGTAAGAGAAGGAAGGGAGGATTATAGGTTTTTTGGGAGGAGGATAAGCTCAGAAAATGAAGAAGTAAGAGAAAGAGCTCAAAGGGGAGAGAGAGAGAGAGGCAGAGGGAGCACTTTTGTATGGTGAGGGGCTGCATATACAAGAGCGTCTTTGATTGGTGAGTAAGTGGTCTCTGGGTATGACTACATCTGCCTGTATCCATGCAGGCAAAATGTAAAATAGTGCCATCTGGCTGTAAGAAGCAGGCTGTGGACGTGTGAGCAACCTTCATCTTTTTCAATTATTCTCCATGATTTTATTTCTACTCTGGAGGTCATTTGGGTTTACGAATGAAGCATTTTCTTAATTACTTTCAAATGTTTGGATTTTTAATGCCGACATGAGCGCTTGGTTTCTAATATCCCTCTCAGCGACGATTCTGAATACTTACTTACTGCAGATCTATTCCAGTATGTCAGTGGGTCAGGAGGCATTGTTAGGAGGTTGACTCAGCCTTTAAGCTGTTTCTGCCATGTGTTTTTTTTTAGAAGTGAGACCAAAAGTTGTTTATTTGCCGTCTGTGATTGTGTGAGCTCTGAGGGTGCTAGTTGAGCGTGAGTGTGAAAAGGAGAAAAACAGGAAGCTAGGTGATAGCACTTCAGATTTCATGGCTCTAGGTGTGAACTGCCCACTTAGCAGTCCAAGATGGAGGAAACGTTTTTTTCCGGCTGTTAAAAGTAGTTGAGAAAAAAGCTGAAATACATGCTGTTTTGTAACTGTGATTGAACCAAAATCTTGAATGTGAAAGCTTTGAAAAGTTCCTGGACTGATGTAAGGGGCTGCTAATGGCACCCAGAGTTTTTTTTTTTTTTTCAAAGCCTTAAAGTTCTCACATCATGGAAGTTTTGACAGCATTGGCAAAATCATCCCTGTTAGTCATGTGGAGAATATTTTAGCTATTCAAATACAGAAAATTTGATATTTTTGGACCCTTGCAGTTTTCTATAAACATAGAAATGTGCACTTGATCCTAAACAATTTGTCTTATTTCCAACCTGGCAACCGTCATGTAATGCTCTTAAGAATAAGTGTCCCAGTCTGGGAAGTGTTTAATAAAAGAGAAGAAATAGTTTCTGCAAAAGCCTTTTTTTTAGTTGTCAATAGTGATTGATCATGTGTTTGTTATTTCAAGTGTTCACTATCACCAACATGTTCTTTACACCGCGTCTCATTTGCTTGAATCCTCCAGGAGACTCAAGTGAATTAGACGAGATTCATTACTCGGTGCGCCCCTTCGCCCCCCACTACAGTGAACCTCCCTACACTGGGATAACCCCCTCACCAACGGCCACCACGGAGAGCACACAGCAGACACACCCTCATCTGAGCCATCCTCCCCCCGAGGACCCACTGGGACCTCTGCCTGACAACTGGGAGATGGCCTACACCGAGAACGGAGAGGTCTACTTTATAGAGTAAGCCAATCAAGACATATATACACTCTTAATGCATCATGTCTGTAGGTGATGTTTCAGAATTGAAGTATGTAACTTAACATTCAAGTCCAAGAAGCAAGGTATATTACATGTATGAGTATGTGGTGTATATGTGCATAAGGTGTAATGTTAAACTTCTCAATTTAATAAATATAGTGCAGATCAGAATGTCTGTTCTGAAACATCAATTATAGAAACCAAGCACATTGTCTCAGGCAAACCCGGTATAACCCATTCTGTTTATATATTCATGTTTCTGCTTTAATGAAAAGAAAAACCTGAATTCTATCTGTTGTGGGTTCAATAGAAACAGCCATAAAGCATCTGGGAGCATGGCCCAGGTATTAAGGGCTTGCAGTTGAGTGACAACATCCAAGAGCAGATATCTGTTCTGAGGCCTTGATTAAAACTAAACCATCATTTGCAGAGTATTTGTAACAAATAACGTAACCTTCAGAATTTCTGTTGTTAATTTATGAACAGTCTTTAAGGATAGTCCTTTTCTGTTATAGCTTTACCATCCAAAGGCCCCTGTCTGTGTTTCAAATAAATAGTAGAAGAGCTTTTCCTCTTACAATTGATACAGTGTTCTCTGTTTTTAGTTTGGGCTCTTGTTTTGTGGATAAAGATGACAGAACTGAATTTGAGTTGTGTTGACTTTTATGTTTCCCATCAATGGATCACAAGAACGTCTGACTCCAACATATCCTCAAACAAAGAATTCAAACAGTTATTTAGCTGAAAAGTCATGCAACTCACTTCATAAAATACAGACAAATCTTCATTTAACAATTTATAATTCTTAAATCCAGTCAACATCTTAAAAAAATCCTACTTACTTCATGCTGGATGTGTGGATATAACTTTTTTTTAATTCTTCATATTTTATCATTTAATTTGTGTGTATTTCCTGTGTAGCCACAACACAAAAACAACTTCCTGGATTGACCCTCGGTGCCTGGACAAGCCTCAGAAACCTCTGGAAGAATGTGAAGATGACGGTATGTCTAAGCCTTATAGATCATCTATATATCTATGCTGTAATGAGGGTTATTTGGTGTTTTGCCAGGAATTCCTTGAAAACCTGTTTATGGGTAAAGTAATGTTACCATCTCTCCATATACCAAGGTAACTAGCCTTGTGTTTAGGCTCTAGCTTTACCTCCATCAAGATTTTTCTAGATTTGACTGAAATCTAAGTTAAGAAAAAAAAAATATGGTTTCTCCAATTCTTTATTCCCAATTTAAAAGTGAGAGGTTTAAACTAGAGTAGTAGTTCCCCCCAGGAGCCTTTAGGTGTCATTGTTGAGTCACAGAAAACAGTGAGCAGTGATGTGGGTCCACTAGTTTGCTGTGCCCCTTTATTTAGCTCTCACTGATGAGACCAGTGTGCTCTACACCTTCACAAATTACCTCTTTTGCATAATCTAATTCCAATAATAATTAGAGCACTTACGCTGAGGTGTCCTTACTGCCTGTTCATAGATTTTTAACATAGATGTGCAGCAACAGATTCTGATGCTGAAGGACAGAAATAACCGTATTTCCAAATATATTGAGTGATTCTTGCAGTTGTTGTTGTTTCGGTGAGACGCGTTAATCCCCAGAAAGTGAGATGTTAGTTTACCTGACAGATTTAGGCGAGGATCCAATCACTCAGGGGAGAAAGGCCATTGGCCAGATGTAGTGGAGTGACTCACAGATGTGCACCTTTTCCCTTGTTTTTTTTCTTCTCTTAAACCACTTTCCTGTGCATCTGTGCTGTCCATCTGCTGAGTAGAAGGGGTACATACAGAGGAGCTGGACAATGACCCAGGTAAGATCTCAAGTTATCTTTTGCACCACATACACAAACATATAACCCTTTTTCTCATCCCACCACCGCTGTTCATTTGGGATTGCAAACATCTGATTCATTTCTGCCCTTCAAAAAGTGTCAGCAGATTTTAAACAGTGTAAACTGCATACATGAAGATACATGAAGATCACAACGGTTAATAGTGCACATCTACATAATAACTCACCGCTGATTGTTCATACAGACTCGTCTGTCAGTTGTTGAGAGATAACTATGACAAAGACTCTCACCATCTAGCTATGACAAGATGCAACGCTGACAGAAAATTGACCTTCACCTTGATGAGCCACAGCAACGGAGCTTTGATTTTCAACAAGGACACATTCTGTATGTGCCTTGAACACAGCTGTGAACAGTACCCACATACTAGCAGACACAGACACTCTACAAAAAAACTCCCACGTCGGCAGACCGTCATCTCACACACAGGAGGCAAGTGCTCCGATGAAGATTGTTCTAATGATGCTTTCCCTAATGGGTCTCTGTCTGAGCCACAATACAATAGGCCTTTTTTTTTCTTGAATCCTATCAGCGCTCTAACTATCCTATCAGACACAGCAGCCTGGTCGCTTTAGCAGGATAAATGGTGTCTGGAGACCGTGACCTGTAGCGAAAATAATGATGTCATTGGTATTATGGTAATATTACTCTACTTTTAGCCTCGTATGGTGTTTTTCCAGTTGAAGTAGCCGACAGCTGTTATCTCCAAAATGGTTGAAAAGAGGACAGAGACAGAAGATCACATGGGAAAGGTTTACAATGCTCTGTGAAAGCAAACTGCAAGTCTTCCACCTTGTTAGCAGCTCCCATCGTTAAGCATCCTCAACAGCTGTCATGTCATGATCATCAGACGAGTCCCCCCGCCTGTGAGACAGCCCTCCACTGGATGAACATGTTCAATAGTTATCGATCAGCACAATCCAATACAAGTGGGCAACAGAATGCAATTAACTCAGTTCTCTAAGGAGAAGCAGACTCAAGTGTTTTATGAGCGCAGGCACATACATGCACTAATTCTAACACAACACACACACACATATAGTTCCTCTCTGTAGTATATGCTTACACAAGAGAAATCAATCACAGCGTTGCATCAAGAATATGAGATGCAAACTGAAAATGTAATTCATCAGGCTTGACACCTGCTTGAATTCACAATATGTTCTGGAAGGTCTTACGTGGGAGAAGGGATACAGGGTGAGAGAGAAAACGCTGCTTAATTAGCGACAGATTTCTCTTTGTCTTTCTCATATGTGTTTTCCTCCCTCTGGAATATATACCGTATTGTCAAGATTTTGAAAAGAAAAAAAACGACCTTTTTGCTGTCACACACAAACACGCTCACTCACACACACAAACAGGTGCTCCTCCTGGAGCGGAACTAGTGCTGTGTGAAATCAAGTGGGTGATTAAAATTTTGCGCGAGGCGAGGCGGGACTGCATTCCATTTAATGTTCCAGTTCAAAACATCTGAATGATAATTTACCATGCCTTCTCTGAGGTTCACCTTGTGCTGCAACACTACCGCTGTTACCTTGCATTCCCTTTTTGCTGCATATTTATTTCTTTGTATTAGCTGCAATAGACATGTAGAAACATGAAATAATAACTCTAGAGTTGTTTACATGGATCAAATTGATGACTTGGTTTGCAGATTTGTCCTTAGCTTCCCAGTCAGACAAACTGCATTCTGTAGTTATGTGAATCAAGTACGGACAATTTAAACATTCCCATCTGGCTCTATTTTTGCCTCTTCTGCTGACTCCACTCGTAACAAACGGACCTCCTCATTAGAAAGCAGAGGGAGGCTCTCCAAGCTGGATGATTGTAATTACCATCTACTTGCACACAGGGTGAGGCTTAATTGGCTGAGGGTAATAATATGTAAAACTGATACATTGCAGGAGAGGACTATTGGACAATCTGTGTTTGTAGCCAATTATAATCTTCTGACATTTTTAACGTGGAGGCCAGCCAATAATCAATGCTTCTCTAATCAAAATATAGAGCTGAATCAGACAGCTCTGCTGGAGATAATGACATCATTCTCTCTGGCAAATGCAGTGGAAACAGAATAAATTGCGCCATCAGCCTGGCACAGGCTGCTGAAGTGGACCCAGTTTTATTCAAATTACGATGAATTTGACTTTTGTCTTCAGAAGTGTCTTCTGACATTATGACCCCATCGATTGAAGTATGTTTTCAGGCAAGTCAAGGGTTCAGTTCAAGAGGAAAAGCAGGAACTGGCACAGGTCAAGTCAGGTCACACACACAAACAGAGGCTGTAGTCATGAAAAAAGAAGGCAACCATAACCAGGGATACAACAGCCACAGTACAGTTTGTTAAGAAAGGGGCATGTTTTTCACTAAGAAGGCCATAGACTTGATTGGAAATGTGCCTTTGTTCTCTTCTTTGGACTACTGTCATTTCTTTTGGGAAAAGAAAACAAGTAACATGTCATCCTTCAAAAACAACAATCAATCATTTTCTCATTTTGTCTTCTACATTATCAACCTCAAACCTTTCTTATATATTTTTTAGTGTGTGCTTTATTTAGTTCTTAGTCTGGATTATATCTCCCTCCCTCCCCTCATCTCACCTTTACCTGTCTTTCACATTTAGTCCCCCCCCCGCGCGCGTGCACTTTCTGTCCTACCTCTCTGACCCTTTCACCACCTCTCTCTCCTGCCTTCTTTCATCTCACCATTCATCCATCCATCTTTGCTCGAGGGGGCCTCGCTCTGTTCTAATCTAATGTGTGGAAATGTCAGCAGTGTAAGGGGACAGTGGGGGCAAACAGGCAGCTTGTGAAGCTGTTGAGTCACTTATGCCTCTGAGACCGACTGACAGGCAGACACAATGGAGAGGAGAAAGGTCTCTCCTCGCCTTACCTCTGATGGCTCAATACATGGTCTCTAGTAACTTCACAGCTTGAGTTTTGCCTTGTTTTTCTCTGGCTCATTCTCTCTTCTTCTTTTTTTTTTTTTTTTTAGAACTTCCACCGGGATGGGAGAAAATAGACGATCCAGTGTATGGGGTCTACTACGTTGAGTAAGTGACATACAGCATGTGTGGCGGCCACACAAGGGTGCACACTATGCTCATACAAAATGTTTCACACATGCAGAAAGAAGAAGGAATGAGCACTTTGCATTCTTCTTCTTGGAACATAAATATGACTGCTTTCACACACGTTCGTTCTAACCAAAGAAACCCTTGACCTTTCTGTAAATTGGATCATCTGTAATGTTTGCACAGTTCAGCTGTAAGACATCACATGATTTCCTTTCAGCTATTTTGGTCTTTTGTGTGCCAGAAAATGTAGGTCATTTTGTTTGTGTCATTATCATTTGGGGAAACGTGAAGCCACTTTGTGTGTGTGTGTGTGTGTGTGTGTGTGTGTGTGTGTGTGTGTGTGTGTGTGTGTGTGTGTGTGTGTGTGTGTGTGTGTGTGTGTGTGTGTGTGTGGTGTGTGTGTGTGTGTGTGTGTGTGTGTGTGTGTGTGTGTGTGTGTGTGTGTGTGTGTGTGTGTGTGTGTGTGTGTGTGTGTGTGTGTGTGTGTGTGTGTGAAGCCCCTCAGCCTCAGAATATGTTTCATTGGTTTTTGATGTTGTTCAAAGCAGCACCTGGGGCGCAGGGCTGTGGCATTTCTATTTTCTTCCTCTTTGTCTCTGCAATATTTGTACACTACTATTCACCATTACATTCATTTGCTACGTAATGTGGTGCTTTCAGCTGTAATTTCTCTGTAATGGTAGGTTGTCAGGAAAATGTTTATTGTTTGTGAATTAAGCCATCATGAAAATGCTATTTTTTTTAATGTGATGTTGAGGTTTGAATGTGTCATGCATCAGGACTCTTGTGTAAGTATGCATGTATAATGTGGAAACTGTATATTAATCAACTCTTGTTGCCATGTCTCTCCTCCCTCCTCTTGGCCCTATCTCTCTTTTCTGTTACCTTCTCCTCTCCTCTCCTGTTTTCCCTCCCTGCTATGCTCCGCTTTCCCGTTGATATTTACTTCTTGTCCTACATCCTGGTTTCTATTCCTACTCCCTATTCCTTCCTATCATGCATCCCTTTGCCCCTCCATTTTTATTATGCAACCTTCATCTACACCTCATCTCCCCTCTCACCGTCCCAAAGTCATATCAACAGAAAGACCCAGTATGAGAATCCAGTGTTGGAGACTAAGAGGCGCAGGCAGCTGGAGCAGCAGCAGCCTCAGCCCCAGAGCCAGCAGCCACCTGAAGGTGAGCGCTACATCCGAGGTTCGTTCACAAGCCCCCGCCAAGGGCGTCATTTCCTTTCTTTCTATCCATGTGTGTGTGACTGAGCTGCCTGCAAATGCCTCTGTATGTGAGTGAGAGTGTGTCTTACTGCCTATATCTTACTGCTTCAGTCCTTGGTGTCGCCCGCTGCTGCCTTATGATTTGCTAAGTGACCTTCCATAAAGGCATAACTATTATTTACGGCTGTACCATGCAGCCTTTTTGAAGTTAATTTCAGTTTTCTGTGTTGCCTCTGGATACGTATTTGTTGTAATAACTTGAAACCCTTTTATCCCAAGCAGAAACAGGTAAGTTTTTCATCATCTGAAATTCATTGAACTTCCTAAAGAGCCTCTTTCTCCTAATTGTTGTCACATAACAAAGCACTAAGTGCTGCCAGTAACAAGAGTAATGTTTTAGCTCAAACTTCTGCCAAAACCCAACCAACTGGTCACCTTAGGTCGCTCCTGTTTCCTGTCTTTAACTTTATACATTCTCAGGACGCCCCGCGGAGAGATTAATTGTAAATGCAGGCCGACCCACATGGAGACTCTGCTATCACGCTCCACCTTCTGCTCATTTAGCAGAAATCATTCTCCGCCATTCGATTACCTGCTGACTTTCCCCTCGTCTGAAGGCTCAATCGCTTAAAATCAGCTCAATACCTTCAAGCGGTGTTTTTAACCATTTTTCCCACTTCCGCATTGATTCCGTGTCACTGTTTATAATATTAATGAGGTGTTTTTGGTAGTCTGATCGGTGCCTTGATGCTGTAACAAGGTGATCAGTCAAAGATGGAATCTATTTTGAAGTCATGGGCAGCTCTATTTTCGCAGGACTCTATTATTATTCAATTGGAAGATCTGTGGAAAGTTTCGGTGACCTATTATCCCTGAAGTTGCACCCTTAAGAAGATTGGAATCTGAAATGTATGTTTCAGGTCTTATCTTGATAGTTAGAGTAAATGAACCCTTACATTTTGGAGGTGAGTTTTTAAATAAATAGACATCCCGCTTCATGGAAAGTCAAATACCTTTTCCCAGAAACATAGTACAGTATGCCAAAATGCCCCGGAGCCCGCAGGCCCGGTTTCTTGCACAAGTAGGGCAGCTGTGTACCCGTTTAGACGCCGTCTAGAGAACATGTGCCTCTTGCTGTTGCAGAATGGATTGAGGACTCAGCGTTGGCAGGGGCCCCACTGGCCAGTTATGCTGCAAACCACCAAGAGACCTACAGGGACCCTCCGACAGGACCTCCAGTGCCCAACGCAATGGGACAAAAACGTAAGTTCCCCTTCCTGAAGAATCAAAACCTGAAACTTCATAAAAGGAAAGTTCCTCATTACTCTTCACTTTCTGGGTTGTGTTACCCAGAGCGACTCATTATAAGTTGAAATGAATTTTGGCTCTTGTAGTTTGTTTTCCTGAGCCATTGCCTCAGGCCCTGTTTGAGTTTCATGATGGAGAACCAGTTAAGAAATAATGCTATGATGCTCTAAATACAAGTTACCACCGTATTTTCTTAAAAAGTACAAAAAAACCTGCTGATATTGACTGTTTTAATACATGTTTCCAAGACACTGCTCATGTTTTCTTAAAAACAAACAAACATACTGTATATATATATATATATATATATATATATGCACCCTGCTGTTGTTTCTCAACTCCTGTCATCTTTGTTTTGAAGATAAAATAATGGCTTGATTTCACCCATCATTTAGCAATACACACATCGTCTAGCCATTACTGTGTGTTTTCTTCTCCTGGTTGCCAGCTCCTTTTATACCAGCCTCCCACCAGCAGCTTGTCTAATTAGCACAGCCATAGCAGAGAATTAACTGCCTCACCCCGTCTCTCCCTCTTACTCTCCCTCGCCGCTTTGTCTGCCGTCTTTTCCCTCTCCCTCATCCTCGCTCTCTGTGTTTTATGGCCCACATTAGCCATCTCGCTGACTTCTGACTCGTCTCCTGCTGCTCTCTGCTTTGGTTCGATTGTAGGTTCTGTCCATCATTCTGTCTTTGAGCTCTATTTCTTTACCCCCCCCCCCCCCCCCATCCTCTGAGATTTCACTATTCTGCACTTTCCTAGGCCTTGACATTCCTTCAGAGCAAGGCGTCATTTGAAATCTCTTTATCCATCTCCCTACTTTCATGTTTCTCCTGCTTCCTGGTCTGTTCTTACATCTCTGCCTCGCTGTCTTATCGTCACACTTTTATCGCACTTTCTCTCCTGTGCTGTAGAAGGCTATTCAAAAGCAAACCACACACACAGACACTGAAAAACCTCACAAACACAAGGACACCGAGGGTAATACGTTTTTCATTGAATACGCTGCAGCACTAGCATAACCTGCTGTGGTGCTGCAGGTCACTAATCAAACATCCCTCTGAGATCCCCTCTTCTTAACATGCGCCCTCTCCATCTCCTTCTCACTTTCATTCTTGCCTTTACCTTCACCAACATCTCCGTCTTCACTTGTGTGAAGTTATTTTCTGTAGTATATGGTTCTTATATATCTTTCATTTGTCAGGTATAGCTCAGCCTGCCCCTCCCCAACCCCCTCCCGCCCGTTACTCCCCTCCTTAAAAGGGAATACAGTGGATGAATACCTTACTCAGTGTTTTTGATTTAGATCGATTGCATCTCATGTCTTTTCTCTTTAATCTCAAAGACAAGATAATGAGGTTAGAGGAAGCGAGAAGAATAAGGATGACTGAGTAATTGGGTGATAATTGCAGTGTTTTATCAGTTCTCCTGCTTTAAGAGCATTACAAAATGTGTTTCTGTGATGATCATAATGTATTGCCTCACTGCCTTATCTGTATTACAAAACCACCATTTAAGGTGAAGACGATGCTTCATATGAGAGGCGCTCGAGAGTCTAGAATTGTATAATCTTTGCACCTGAATGAAAAATGTATGCTCTTTATACTTCTTCTTTTGATGTTTTACTTCCCTGGCAATCTGTTTTAGATGCTGTTTCCGAACAAAGCCTTTGATTTCATGCACTTATAAGTACCAGTAATCAATAAAGCTTCAGTCAGCAAAAATACGGTATCACTCTAGAAGCCTTTATGGGTATCATTTACATCTTTTTTTACAGCTAACTGGCTGGAAAAAAGAGAGAGAGATTATGCAGTCAAATACAGTTTCCAGATTTTCTGAATTCAAGTTACTCTTTTACGGCAACAATTGTTGAGCTGTAGAGTCTGAATTATTTGACATTATACAACAGGTTTTGATACACGACAGCCAGCAACCTCTCGCTTTACCTGATTCTTGAACAGAACACTCTGACCGGGCCATCAGAAAGCCCTGGCCAACATCCATTGACATGGTTGCATTGTTCGCTAAGAGTAAAGGTTGTGTGTTCATGGATTTCAGGAGATGCACAGAGTCTTAAGGGCTGAGGTTGAGAACTGTATTAGCACCTAGAGTGACATGTAAACTCTAATGCAGGTTTTGCTAATGCAGTAAATCAGATTGATCCCGTTTTAATCACATTTGTGTTTGTGTGATCAGGAGGGAAGCCTTTCTTTACTCGAAACCGATCCGAGCTGAACGGGACTTTCATCAACACCAAGCTGAAAAAGAGTCGTCGGGGGTTCGGTTTCACCGTGGTGGGAGGGGACGAGCCGGACGAGTTCCTGCAGATCAAGAGCCTGGTCCTGGATGGACCTGCTGCCCTTGATGGCAAAATGGAGACTGGTTAGTGAACTAGACATGATAAAAAGTTAAAAGAAAAAGGAGTACAGGTTTTTTTATGTGTTGTTACAGTTATGATTTCTGAATGGTCCTTGTGTGAAAGCACTGTGTAAAAAAATAAGTAAGCATAATCCTTTATCAAACTGAAAAGCTTTATCTAATGAATGAGTTAAGTTCTTCCAATGCAAAACAACACTATCAAAGAAATGTCTTTGCATATATAAAGCTTAAATTTTTCATCGTATAAAATAGCTGAAACTTGTGAATTCGTTTTCTAAAAAATCAAATGAACTTCTCCCTTATCTTTCTTGCTAAGGTGACGTGATCGTGAGTGTCAATGACACATGTGTGCTAGGCTACACCCATGCCCAAGTTGTGAAGATCTTCCAGTCCATCCCAATTGGCTCCATGGTCAATTTAGAGCTTTGCCGTGGCTACCCACTGCCTTTTGACCCAGATGACCCCAACACCAGCCTGGTTACCTCAGTGGCCATTCTGGAAAACAAAGACCCCATCATTGTAAATGGCCAGGAGCACCCCAACAGCTACGACTCGCCTTCCAGCCACGGGAGTCAGAACAACAACAACGGCACGATTAACGGCGGGGCACCCTGAACGGCCTCCCTCGACCCCACAGCCCCTCAGCGGAGGGGGCGTCTGATACCTCTTCCCAGCATGGCTACCCCAGCGACTCGGTCACCCTGGCTTCATCTATCGCAACACAACCAGAACTCATCACTGTACACATGGAGAAAGGAGACAAGGGCTTCGGGTTCACCATCGCCGACAGTCCCGGAGGAGGAGGGCAGCGGGTGAAGCAGATTGTGGATTACCCACGCTGCCGCGGCCTCAAGGAGGGCGACATCATCATGGAGGTGAACAAGAGAAACGTGCAGAGCATGTCTCACAACCAGGTGGTCGACCTGCTAAGCAAGTGTCCCAAAGGCAGCGAGGTCACCATGCTGGTGCAGAGAGGTGAGTGGAGGCTGATCTTCCCATATGTTGTCCCACTGAATGTGTCATTTGTGTTGTAATTGATGGGAGCAGATGGAGACGAGGAAGATGAGGAGAAGAGTGAGTTATGTGGCAGATTCTGATCTAGTGCCCATATGTTTAAGTAATGTGGAAAAAAAAACAACAAACCTTTCTTATGATGTTGTTCTTATGAAGTTTCTGCCTTACAGGCTGTTCCAGCTCACAGAGAGCTCTTTTATTGACACACACAAATTATTTATTCATGTAAATAAAGGTTGGAAGAAAAAGTGATTGCACAGAAGGCGAGATAGAGGGATAATTATGGAAGGGGGAAAGGAGCCCCAGAAGAAGTGGAAAGAGAGAGTGAGGTGTTTATGCTGAGAGCTATTGGCAGACGGAATATTATTGCTGTTTGAGAAGGAAAGATAAAAAGGAGGGTAGGATGACCTAAGAAGGGTAATTATAGCAAAGAAACTAAGGTTAAGTTCCAGGTCAAAGGCTGAATTTGCGTCTCTTTCTATTTCTAAGCCTAGGTTCTTATTCACTCCTCTGCTTTTCTGCCATGTTTGTGGGTTGACAGCATGTCTAGTTTATTTTAAGATTTTATAGTCCTCCCATATCAAAGCTTGAAAGGTTCCATCAGCGGTGCCGGCTTGCATTACAGCCACCCACAAGGCTATCTGTCTTTGTATGAGCTGAAGTCAGTGACATTTTCTACTATTAGCTTACATATTCATTGCTATTTGTTCAATGTCAACTCAACAAGAAAAGAGTGCATCGCCATCTTATTACTGCCATTCAACATGAACCAAAACCCAACTTCTGTCATGGTTTCTGATTGAAAGTCACTGTCGCACCCGAGCCCTAAATGGAAACAAAGAAACTGTGAATGGAGGCTAAAACTGAAATGATTGAATTTCTGTATTTTCCCTTCAATCCCCCTCCGACTCACAGACCTCCAGAGCTCTAAATGCACTGTGTGATACAAGTAATTGGACTATTTTCTCTGTCAGACTGTCCATAGCTGTGCTTTGGGGCCTATTAGTTCAAACTAAAGGTTTTTGTGTGTTTTTGGGAGCACGCGTGTCGTTTATCTCCTCTGTTGGGTTAAGTGCTCAGAACTGTCAAGGAAAATTGGTCAGATAAATGGCAGGCAAGTCAACATGTGTTCTCATCCGTCTTTTGATCTACATGTGTGATTCTGTCTCAATTTGTAGCTCCGTATCTTTCTGCATGTTGTCGCACTCTTGCTTTGTCTCGCTTCTTGACACACACCCACTCTCTCCACACACACTGATCAAACACTCCCCCTCACTGGCTTCTGCTAATGAGTAGCATTTCTTCATCTGCTAGTGTACACAAGCCAACAAAGTGATACAGCCTCATCATAGGCAGGGGCATAATGGGCTGTCAATAAAACAGAATGGAGATTAGCCTGCCTTTGTAAACGTAGCATCAGGCTTCGATAGCCACAGAGAGATGGATATGACTGTGGTAGAAGAAATGGCACTGAGCTTACAGAAATGTGGGCATACGGAGCGTTTTGATTGAACCAGAGTTACTGTCTGCTTTTTATAGTCGGATTGATCCTGTTTAAGGTTCTGTTTGGATAGTGCCAGGCAGGTTAGGAACAAGCACAGGAAACCAAATCGAAAGCCAGAAAAATCATGTTGTTTATTGTAGGACTTTGTTTCACTTCATGGGGATTAAGTCAAGTCAAGTGTATTTCTAAAGCACAGCAACTCAATGTTGACCAAAGTGCTGTCAACCAAGAGAAACAATACAATTTGAGACCAAATCCCAATTAAAGACCAAGAGCATCCAAAAAAATATGATCATAGAGAAAATACTACAGTTCACCTTCTGATTTATAAGAGAAGAAAGGTCTGCTTAATGCTCTTTATGACACCATTAAGGTGTAAGTGGCAGCTACTCCGTGTTATATAAAAAAACTGTCATAAAAATATTGACAGATGTTGAATAACATATAGCTAGAATCTGCTAAATATTGTGCATGTGTCACAAATCTACAAAATGATAAGCAATCAGAAATGTAAACTAGTTTTGTATCAATTTCTATTTTTGATTGTTTTGTTGACAGAATGTTATTTAAACTAAAAAATATGCCCATTGAAGTGGGAAAGAGACAAATATTTGCTTTACCATTGTTAAGTTACCTCCAGCCTTTTCTCAGCTAAACACTTTGTAGACTTCCCCCGCTCAGTCACTGAAGACAATCGACCACCTTGACAGAATTTCCCATTTCACAGAGTTTTAACATTATTACACAACATCCTTTTTTATAGAACATTTTATATTCATAAATATTACCATTTACACCTTTCAGCCTCGAGTGATGACACAAACACGACATTAGCATACAACATAGAGCAGACAATTGTGTGTGTGTTTATATTTCTGACTCACACATTTCCCTGTCCTTCAGATTCCTTCATGTCGACTGATGAATCTGTTTACATTAGACCCTTTAGGTGTCAATGCGTTTACACAGCATCAGTCATGTGTCATACATGTTGCTGACATTTACACACACACACACACACTATCGTTGCAGTAAGACACAAGAGAACAATAAAGCAAGGTTTCTAGACACGGTGCCTTAATTACTCTCCCGCTCTTACACTTCTCGCTGCTTTCTCACTCCCGCTCACTCCGCCGGTAGCAGCAATGCATGCTGGCCTCTAATTGGGGTCCTGATGTCAGCTTTGCTTATCATACACATACATCTTTTTTTTCCCTTCTTGTGCTCTCGTTTTACTCTCACTCTCCCTCAATCCGTCAAGAATCATGTCTTCCCTGGGCAAACACAGCTTCTGCCTGTACATACTCATACATCCGCACAATCGGTGTCAGCCTCCAATATGGAAAACTGTGCACCCAATTAAAGATTTGAGCCACAAAGACCCTTGTACAGTCTTAATTAGTGGAGATCCACTCCTGCTACACCATTCCATCCCCCCTTTTTTTTCTGTTCCCATTCCCCCTCTCTGCTGGCATGTAGTTTCACACCAGCTCGCCCACGTGAGATCTGGAGCCAGTCCCGGAGGACCAGTGCATGAAGACTCACACTTGTTAAAGCGGCTCTGTGCAACAGTGAACCCCTCACTCCTTCTCTCACTGTCTTTCTCACAGTGTGCGAGCACGTCAGCCTGTGTGGAAATGTGAACGTGTGTTTTCAGTCCACACCAGAAGAAAGCACAATTCTTGGCGCTCCGGGTGAAAACCTGGCAGTGTGTCTGTCATTCGAGGCATTTTGCTTTCATCATCTTTGCCTAAGCAAGCTTCATTATATGTGTGAATAACCTCTTTAGCAAGTTAATACACAAAAAAACACCCTCAGGTTAGAGTTTCAGGTTATGAGACTGTCAGTGTGTTATAGGTTTAGCTTACAAAAAACACTTCTTACATTTTGTACTTCGAGCTTTTTACTGCTTGTAAGCACACAGGCCTGATTTATTACTTCAATGTGCTCTGTGTTTCGTGATACATCGTTCTTTCATTTGTCTAATTACACTTCTCTAATGTGCTCATTTTCCCCTGCCAGTCTTCTGCTGCCCCCACTGATGCGCTGGCATAACTCATTTTAGCCCCGGAGGTCTTGCCATAGCACAGAAGCTAATTTCCTCTGTTCCCTTTAAAAAAAAAGGTGTGTGGATGTTGCAGCGTCTCGAGGGACGCACACACCTGCTTTAGAGCCTTTTGTCAGCGAAAACTTGTTTGGGTGTAGAATTTGTGCTGCTACCCCAGCAGCCTGTGTCATTAGTCAGCTATAAATAAAAAAAAAACTAAAACAGAAAGCCCATTTATTTCAGGAAGGATGTAGGGTCGCCTTCTACTCAATATGTCTTACCTGTTTGTAAGGCCTGGCAGGTACAGATGAATGCAAGGGAATTTCTGATAGAGTGCAGCAACTGTAGCTACGTATTAGAAAATGGATGGAAAAGTGCATGAAGGGAGAGGAGGAAAAACAGAAGATAGAAGGATGTCAGAGGCTCCAAGAGATGATGAAAGAGCAGCGTATAAACCCCCATGATGCTATGCTTTCCACACTTTTCTCTCTCCCCTTTCCTCTCTCTCTCTCTCTCCCCCCTACGCATGACTCATCAATCAACCAAAGACACGTTAGTCCCGGCCGGGCAATCAGGCCTCGCACCAAATGAGACATGGACCTTTTACTTTACGCCCGAACAGCCAGCGGAGAGACCAGTGGCAGGTTTACGGACAGACACAGAGGAGAGATGTTAAACTCTTTTGCAGATGCCAATATATCTGATGAACCTTTGCGACTCTATCCCCTTTGAGTAAATACCCAAAGACATGTCCAAGATCAGCGATTATTTTCAGGCTACTTGAACAGGAGCATACATCCACAGTGTTTAGGTAGAGGTGAGTTTTTCTTCTCATTACGTTGGTTTGCATTTCCCTTCTTTGCCTTAAAGTGCGGTTTAGAAGAGATCTATTGTCCCCTTAAAGACAGACACTGTGCTGAAATGTGTGTTTACTTTTAGTTTTTCTTGGACGTGCAGGTTAAAGAGGGTAAAAACACCAAGTGGATCAGCGCCACAGTAGAGAGCTCTTTTTGGCATACAGGCGCGCAACAGCTTGTAAATGCCTCCTGTCAAAAAGCACTCCGTCCATCGGATCAGTGCACTTTGAGGACACACACTGATAGGCACAAATACAATTATGTGAACTTGGATAACCCACATAAACAAACACACATTTACCGGCATGCACAGTCATAAAGGTTGTATAATGTGAAATGTCTTGTTCACAGCCATTAGGAAGGCATAAACGGTGACGAGGAGTCCCTGCACAGACAGAAGCAGGAAATCAATTCACTGTATGGGCAGGAAGCATCATATCTTTGCCCACTTCGCATTAAAAATTCTGCTGACTGCACTTTCCGTTGGCATCATAACGGAAAGCGTCACAGCTTGAAGAGCAATGATGAGGGAACGGGTTGCCCACTTGGTACCCACATTGTACCCCAGCTCATTTTTGGGCTCACTGGAGGCTTGTGCCTTTTGGATCACAGCTTGTTGCACAGGGAAAAGGTGAGCTTTCTTTTCTCCCCTTCAACCCCACGGCTGATCTTCACAACTCCACAGCTATTGGGCAGAATGTAAATCTCTGTTCCACCATCCTTTGTTTCTATGGCAATGCTCTGCAGATAATCTCCTCGGGGGTCTCCTCAGGGTATGTGTGCTATAGTGGGAGGAGGGGATTTCACCCCTGCCACACAAGAAGGAAGCCACAACACATCATTTTTTTTTTTTTTTTAGATTTTTCAGACTTTCTTCTTTAAAGAGCAGCATTGCTTTCATTGCAAGAAAAATATGATGTTCCATCCTTTTTTCTTTATTTTTTTACTTTTTGCATGCACTCTTTCTCCATTGATTTTAGTCACATTGCTGTGGTCCTCTGTCACGTTTCTAGTTCACTGTTTACACACACACAGGCAAAATAAAGCTGTGCTCTGCTGGGCTGTCACATCGTGGCTGCTGATGTTCTCAGCTGATGTGAGCCTTTCACTCCTAAGGGACCGTCTGTCAGTTCCCTATGGTCAGCAGGCACTGTCGCCCCAGTGACAGATGGACCTGCCTGTTGGACGCCATGACTCCCAGCCGAGATCTACCAACACACACACACGTACTGAAGACAGACAACATAATCTGCTTTGTAACTGCTTCCGTTTAGTAACTGCTGTGCTGCCAGGTTGTTGCAACAGTTCCTATCTGTTGAGGCATACTGTACAAACCCTCCAGCAGTGGGTCCAGCACCTCTTGTAAATCTGTACCCAGTTTTTCTCAATACAATTATTCCAAGCCTCAGATTCCCAGGAAACAATTGTAGCTGATTTAATTTTCCTTACGCAGTTTTTAACGTTTTTCATATGTGATGTTAGATTCTTTCCATATCACCTTAATATCCAGAGTGTGAAAAAGAGGACAGAGTGTCTCCTGTCGGATTTTGACCAGCTGTCGGGCTGTCTGAGGACAAAAACAAGTTGTGTTCCCAGAAATGAATGGAGTTTTGCCTGAGGCAGGGAAACAAGATGACTGTTATTCTGTCAAGTTTGAGAACATTTCTTTTACTGCAGGCCTAAACTATACTGGATACTCTGTTATTTCAGCTTCATTGGAATACATAATAATCAGTTAATACATCATTAATCATAGAAAAAACACTATTATATAAAATGTGTGCCCCGTGGGTTGAACAGTTCTTCATTACTCACTGGTTAGAATGCATTTTTTTGTCCATAAATTTCAAGATTAGGTAAGCACAATAAATTGAGCTTTTTGGCCCTAAAGCAGTCCTGGTCCATTATTTGAGAGCTGGAGGCACTCTCTCACCTCAGCCTGTCAGTGTGCAGGCCAGCCGATCATCGCCCACCTCTTCTTAACATCTTTCCTCCATTCTCCCCCTCTTTGTTTGTAATTAAATGTAGAGGTTGACTGAAACATCCACACTGCCTTTTGATCAGGGAGCTTCAAATACACTGTGGGGCTTTACTAACTCAACAAAGAAAAACTCATAGAACCCCTAAAAGCAGCGTTGACCTTGTTAACATTATCGTACTGATATTTCTTGTTTTGTCTGTATTGAAACTGTAATACTGACAGTTATGAGTTTTACTTTATGAAAAACAAACATCCATTTAGTTTTATCATCTAGTTTCAGTGTTAAACTTAGAAAGTGCTTTACATTATGGCGACCTGAATCCACCTCTGACTGTGTTTAATACCTATATATGATTGTCTACACTTACTAAGTGTCTCTGATTGTAAAACTAAAAGGAAGCAGTGAGAGACATTGACAAACAATAAGCAGCTGATCAGCTGCAATGGATAGATGCAGGTTAATCAAACTCCCCCCCCCGCCTCTTACATTTTGACTGACAGCATGCTTAGCCCGGAGAGAATATCACAGGATTGACAGGGTGCATCTGCATCTGATTTAGGGGATGGTAATATGCTTTTGAATGAATGATTCCTATTGATTGAAAGAAGGGGAGAGGAGAGAGATGAGGGGAAGGGTGGGAGAAGAGGAAAGGAAAGAAGAAGAAAAAGCTGCAGACGCAACACAGTTGGAGCTGTCAGTTGTGAATGAAGCCAGATGTCTGAGAGATAAAGACAATGAGCGTGTGTGTGTGTGTGTGTGTGTGTGTGTCTGAGAGAGTGAGAGAGATCTTATCCTCTTATTTTCCCCAAAGGATTGACACACAATAGTGGCCCATTTTCTTAGATCAGATGCCGCCTAGTCTCACTCATGCTTTACATGTCGTTACACACCCATCTTGTATATCAGAGGTTTGTGTGGTTCTCACCCAACACACTGTAGAATCTTGAGTATCGTACAGGTAAATAGAGTCATGCATTTTCTCTTTGTTTTATGCATTCCCTCTCCCATTCTTATTTCCATAACTTCATACAGCTGTTTATTTCATACAGAGCTGAGGGGGGAAGGGAGGGAGGGGGAGGGGGAGAGGGCAGTGATGTGCTTAAGGAACACATTTCCCCAGCTAAATCCAGGCTGTGTCGGCATCTATCAGTATTTCTCTGTGTGCCGCTTCTGTGATCATTTTATTTCTGCAATGATATTTCTGTTCACTGCTCACTCACGCAGACAGCTATTTCTCATACCTTAAGCACACTACAACTTGCGTCGGAGCAATGCCGTCTGTTGTGCCGTGTGTTGTTAGGGGTGGGTGTGTGTGTGTGTGTGTGCGCGTGTCTGCGTGTGTGTGCAGCTGCACGGATGCTTACCAGCATGTGGGAGGGAGACTGAGAGGAGGGAGGAAGAGGGGAGGGTGCGTTGATGATGCTGAGGGAAGAAAAGGGAGGGAGGACAGTGTGCAGTGAGGTGAGCAAGAGAGAGAGAGAAAGGGAAAAAAAAAAGGAAAAGGCAGCAGGAAAGAGAGAGACAGGGAGGACACGGCTACTGCCTATAGATGCTGGAGCCTTGGACAGCGGAGTGCGGTGCTCAGCGGACGCAGGAAGATGGTCTCAGTAAGAGGGGAACTGACGGTTGCCTATAATTTAATGTTCAGTATCTTGGACTCCTTCTCCATGGGTAATGCTACGGCCAGGAACTCCAGAGCACAGCTCGCTTCTCTCCTCTCTGCTCCTTGCTCTTTTATTCTCTGGCTTAGTTACTCTCTAGGATTCTGTCCTCTCCTCTCAACTCTCACTTTCCTTCCCTGACACACACACGCACTCACTCATTTGCGTGCGTCGCTGTTTCGGTAGCCAAGATCTGAACGAGCACCGAGTTAGCCCTAGGGGCTGGCCCCAGTCTTCCGCTGCACCAGTCAAGCCGAGCGCTGGACGCGGCAGTGATGCAGATAGATCTCGCTGCCTGCACCTCCCTCCCCTCCCCTCTCTTCCTACTCAAACACCAGCCGCGGATGGGCGAGCACAGGATCCGAGCAGGGGAAGAGAGGATAGAAGGGAGAAGGAGACGAGGGCTAGCCGAGCACTGATGTGACATTGTTTTGGAGTCTGCGTTGTCTGTCTTTTTTTTTTTTCCTTTCTGCTTTGTTTTTTTTTTGTTTTTTTGCATTTTTCTTTTGATGAGCATGGAAATATAGTTAAACTCCATTTGTAACCGGCTTCCTTTTTCTTTTCTCCCTTTTTGTTGTCTGCTTTTACAGGGGTGGCACCTGCAAAGAAGAGCCCAAAACTGGTAAGTAGTTGTTTTCCTATGTTTTTTTTCCTCATCTCTTATTCATCATCCATATGGTGCTTCTGTCTCAGGGATATTGGTCTCACTTTTGCTGCCTCTCCTCTGTGTGGTGCAACTTGTGCTGATGTTGTGGGTCTGTTTGTAGACATGGGATGCTCTGTTGTGTGGGGGTGGATCCCTGTAGCTTCACAACACACACACCCCCCCATCACTCTCTCTCTGGCGTGGGCTGGGACGAGGGGCTTTGATGCACAGCGTGAGCTGGGTTGCTAACATGCCGATGATCTCATCGCGCCGGGTGCTAAGCTTGCAGCGTGAGAGTTGAATGTATGCTCACAGCTGGAAGACTGCCTCATCCTGTGATATATGACTCATCTATGGAGGGACTCTGTTGACCAACTGAACGTGTGTGTGTGTGTCAATTTTGTTTTTTTGCAGAATGAGCTGGCTCCTCCGTACAGAGATTACGCTAGGAGGGTATGTAATGTTGATGAGCTGGGGTGAAAGTTTCGGCTGGTGCTGGTTATGTAATGTGTAAGATGATAATGGTGATGGTGTGGCTTTCATAGTGCGGAAAATAGAGGTTGTAAGTTGAGAATGATAATGGTGCTAATGCGTGATATTTCAACATAATGTTTGGTCGTATACGTTTGTTTATGTGCTGCAAAATACACTTGGGATGTCTGTTAATGCTGTTATGCATCAAGGCACTGAACCTTAGCGTGGCCTGCTGGTGGCAGAGCAGGACTAAACTCAGTCTGAGGAAGCAGCCAGGATTTGTTTTCATTGCCCCAGCTCCCCTTTCCCCTCCCTCCCCCCCCTCCCCCTTCCTCTGTCTCCTTAATAAGTTATTGGAGCAGAGAAAGCAATGTATTAAAGCAGTCCCGGAGCACAGAGGGAGAACACAATAACTGCAGAAGGTCAACTCTAATAGATCCATCAAGAACAAGAGATTTGTTTTCATTTAAGAGGGGAATAGGATTCAGACTTTGTGTGCATCAAACTGAGAGACACGAGAAACAGGGTGCTTCATTTGCTAATGGAAGCAGCATTCTGTTTGATGAATCAAAACAACCCTGAATAAATGTTGCTGTCTGGGTGAAGCATCAGTCCTGGGGTCCGGCTTTTTCTGCACTTGCGACTAATTATATAAACCATTGATTTTCTCTTCACCACACAACCCAGTGAGGTTACAATCCCACCACTGGTCTGCTCAGACTTAATCTTCGCTAAAGCGTCAGGCTCCTCTTATGCCTAACAAGGTTGATGAATATAAACATGAATTGCAGAGGTGTAGTAGGCTGATTCAGGGAGTAATGAGTCCAAATTTATTGAAGACATAGCTGCACTTTGAAGGCCAAACACTTTGATATCTTTGCAGAACACATGAGCCCCCTTGCCTCCGCCCCTTCCTGGTGTATTTTTGTACACCACATCTGAAGTGCTGGGAGGTCACGTGATGTTCAGAGACTGAATTGCTGTCATTTTCTCTTACTGTCTTAAAATATCTTTCTGTCTTTCTCATGCTCTGTAACCCTTTTCCCATCACTGGTTTCTTTTTGAACTGTAGCTAAGTCATGTGGAAGATGGGGTCTGTAGACAGATACTGTGTTGTGGGAAGGATTTTTAACTTGTATTCACAGTGCACTTGTGCTTGAGCTCAGGTTTGTATGTACTTGACTCTGCTCAAGCACCGCTGCCCTTAAATCCTTGAGCAGGTGCTTAAGAGCCTGTGTTATTGAGTGGCCAGTGGCAATTTACGAAGAGTTTTACGTTTTCAAGCATCACCAGTGAAATCCTTCCTTCATTTCAAACCCCACATGCGCATTATTCGCTGTGAATATTTCTCCATACACAGCAAGGGGGATGCTGATCCTTGTTAATACATTCCACTCTGTTAAACAAAAGGAATAGGCAATGTACACTCACTGTAAGTGGAGCAACAGTGTTTTTTTTTTTTCTCCCACAGTTGAATGACTTAATCATGAGAAACAATTGAGCTCTTCTTTTTCCTTTCTTTGTGTGCTAAAATCATTCTCTAGCCTAAATAAAAGGGTTTGATTACTTTTTTTGTGATGATTAAGGGAGCAGCGCAACAATAGCTGACATCATACTCTCTTAGATTCTCCTTTTATGTCTCCAAGACGTAGCAACCTTTAATCATTCTGAATTCTTATCCAAAAGTCTTCAGTCCTCTAAAGCGTCACCCCACTTTTTGTCTCCTCTGACAAACCACAACCTCATTTCCTCTTGTCTTTCAACTGCTGAACACGCTACTTTTTCTGTCTCCTCTGTCAGCCTCCATGTTCACAGGTGTAATGCTGCTGCTGACTTTTAGTTGTCAAATGATATCGATCTACTTCTTCTCCAACAGCCATTGTCAAGAAAGGACAGTCAGAACAGCTCCCAGCATAGCGTTTCAAGCCACAGGAGCGCCCACACAGACTCGCCTGTGCACCCGTCCCTGGCGCCCCCTCTCAACGAGAGCATCGCTCCCCCGCCCCCCTCTCAGCCCCTGCCAGGCCTGCCGCCCCAGGACTCTCCAGCTGACGGAACAATCCAGAGAAAACCGGACCCTTTTAAGATCTGGGCCCAGTCCAGGAGCATGTATGAAAGTAGGCGTAAGTATATACATTTTTGGTGGCGGTTTGGGAGAGGGCTGCATGAAGCTTAAGGTTCGGTGGGGATCCTTGGTGTGTTTAAATGGTGCTGCTATTTTGCAGCAGGGTTTGGATAAGAAAGAGTCATACACATGTAAGTAACTGGTATATATTCTTACAAAGAAGTGACAGGGACCATACTAATTGTGTGCTTTTGTTCAGTTTCTGTCGAGGAATCTGGTCACGGTTTGGTGCATGGGTTGTTGGATTGCTCTTTACTAAAACCAATGTAATGTAATTCAACAGTCCTGTAAAGAGTTCTCGTCTCTGAAGGTTCAGCTTTTGTTCAAACCGGTTCAGAGTAGTGTTTATTCACAGTTAGATTTCTCCTGCCCCCCTTCATATAAAGTGTTGGACCAAATAAGACTGTAGATGAGTGCTGAAGAACCTGGAGCCTTGGGTGGGAAAAGCATTTCTGAATATGAAATAAATGCAACTAAGCAAAGGTTATCCCCTGCTAGTTCTAGCTTAAGTATAAAGCATACAGGTATGGTTCAAGGTTGTCTTGTTTTGCAGTAAACAGCAAAACATCCATCCATCAGGCCAACAATAAGTACAGCATTTTAAACACTAGATTAGATAAGTCCAATAGACAAGACATCTGTAAGTCTGTTATGCAGAGAACCAAGATATGACAGAGGTATAAATCCTTTGGGATATCTTAAAGTAGGAAAGTGAATGAATGTTGACTGAAACGTTGAGTAATTTATTATTTTCACATTTAGTTGGCTGTCATCTGGAGCACCATTAGCATTAGAGGTCTCCCTCAAGTTCCTGGTCTAGTCCTCTCACAGCTATTAGATGCCACTTAGGCCCAGTTGTAGACATTGGCACCACTGACACACTTTTATAGCAGACTTCTCCTAGGAGACGTATGGCCCTATAATTAGCATCCACTGCGTAGTGGATGGAAGTGGATTGCTTATTCCCCGCTCTCATTGTCTAGCCTTGCCAAAGCAAAAGGAAAGCTCCAGTTAAAGTTGTTACCTGTCAAGTTGATTGGAAAAAAAAAAAAAAAAAGTAGTCTGTAAAGGCTATGAAACCTTAATAGCTAATCAATTTCCCAGGCCCACCTTGTCAATGATTTTTATCATGTATTTGTTTGTGTAGAAAAATGTGAAACAAAGGGCTGAGCAGACACCAGCATCTCGTTTGAAGGGCTGAGAGGACGAAAGTGTTTGATTTAAACAGGAAATAAAGAGTAAGGATAAAGAGGGAAATATACCAAGACTACAGGGATTATTTCTTCATACCTGTCCTAATGTGATGGTGTCTCAACAGGGGGTTTTCTCTATTTCTGAGTACAAAGTGTAGGATGTGTAAAGAGAACACAAAGGATACCGAAGAGGGACATGCCAGAAATGTATAAAGTGACGCAAAAGAAAAAAAAGTAAGGAAGAGAGAAATGTCAATCTTTGTAGAATCAAGAGATCCTGAGGTAAAGAAAAGAAGGGAGGAACTCACAGAGAATGACAGGGAGGGCAGCTGACCTAAAGCAGCAGGTGTGAGTCCTCTGCTTCCTCACGCTGCATTGAGCCTCTGGTCCTTAAATCCTGCAGTGTGCACCCCCATAGGGTCCTGGCCGTGGCTGCTGCAGAGACATTTCTCCTCACATCATTCCCTTTTAATGGAAAGTCCTTCTGAGCTCAAGGTCTTTAAACACCCAATGTGGTGAAAGATTTCCATTTGCAGAAAAAAGTCTCCAGAAAAAGAATCTTACAGCATTAACCTGCTGAAGAAAAAAATGTAGGCCAAAGAGGAGACTTCACTCACTTCTTCTTCATTTGCATTAGTGGCCCTTTTTTTTAACATGATCCCCATTTCACTTTCTTCAATGTTTGAACCGTGCATGTTTGTAATTTGCAGTCCTCGCTCACAGTTCTGCACAGGTGCTCAGGACGGTCTATCTCTGTGAAATATCGATTCACAATGTGATTCACGCCCAGTTGCCTCACTGTGGGGATCACTAATGGATCTATTAATCGACAGGAGCAGGGTGTAACTGTGCAGTTGACCCTCCCCAGTGTAGGTGCAGATTGCGGCTGTTAGCCTTTGACTCTTCCTCTGCTGGTTCCTGCACAGTTACATTGGGATATATTGAGAGCAATGGCTGCACTCTGCAGGGATTTCAACTGTTGACTGAAGGAACAGATTGGAAACTGGCTGTTTGCGCCTTCTGCCATCCTGCCGCCTCTTACTGGCTTTACTGTCCTTGGCATGAGTGGCCTGAATGAAAGAAAAAAAGAAATCTCCCTGGGAGGTTTGCTCAGAGGTACATGTTTGTCAGCCCCTTAAACTCTGCTGCAACCATGCAAAATGCATGCACATACGTGTATATGTGAATAAATAGACACATATTTAAAGCAAACAATCGTATGTGTATACCATATGACCACACACGAATACTCACTCTCACATACTCTGTCTCTCCCCTGGTGCCCTGGAGCCCCCCTGAGGCTCCCCACATATCCCCTGCTACATGAACCATGAGCTGTCACTCTCTGCAGTGCAATGCTTCTTTTATAGTACAGCACCTTTTCTAGTGTCTATCAGCACACACTCATATGGAATGGACTGTGAACCATCCAGACTTAATAATATATGACCGGTTCCAGCATGTATTAGCACCTCTGTTAGCTGGGAAGTGCTCTCCAAGATATTGAAGAGTGGAGATTGAGCTGCATGTGACGAAAAAAAAAAAATAGTAAAGTCCATTCAGTTGTAATGTCAAACCTAGGGAAAGATTTAAAGCTAGTAGAAAATGACCCTATTCTATTTCTAACATCAGAGAGGAATTTCAGCCTGATCGTTTCTAATTATGGCTCCAATGAATGAGTGTGCTCTGATTTTTTTGTTTGTTTTTGGCAGCTTCTATTGGCTTTTGATGTTTATTTAGGCTCCATACCTTTTGCTCTTTACTCAAAATAGACAATTTTAATCTTTTGATAGGTTATTTGTTTTTTCTTTAGCCAAAGCCTCAATTCAGATTGTCTTTACAAAGTGATACACTTGGATCAGTTTGGAGGGAATTTATTTGCATGTTGACAAAAGCAGGCAGATCATTTTGTGTCCTTCAAATCAATGGTTACTTCCACAGTAGACAGATGAAGGCTGAAGACTGTGGTCTTCAGGCTGAGTTAAACTAACAGGTATCCAAAAGCTGAACTCTTCCTGTACTGGTGCTGGCACAGAGAGTCTCCTTGGCTGTCTGTTGGTATTATGGCAGAAATAATAAAGATGGTTTGTTGATTTGCAGTTCCAGACTTCCAGGAGCAGGACATTTTCCTGTGGAGGAAGGACACAGGCTTCGGCTTCAGGATCCTCGGAGGCAATGAGCCAGGAGAGCCGGTGAGTCAGTCTCTCTCTCTCTCTCTCTCTCTCTCTCTCTCTCTCTCTCTCTCTCTCACAACATCTGTGTCTTTATTTGATTTATCATCATCTGTTGTGTAGTTTCAAGCTTCATGAGTGATTCCTACAAAACGGTTTCTCTTTGATCTGGCCAGAGTTTTTTTTAAAAGGTCACCCCAGATACACTGTGTTTTTCTGCCAATGTGTTTGTTTTTTAAAGTAAAATAATGAGGCTTGCACAAAGTAAAACAATGTGATAGGGAAGTTTGACTTCTAGTTGACCAGATGCTAACTTAATGAATTCATTGAAGGCTGAGATGTTTGAGAATTCTAATTATATGTACGTATGCAAGCTGTATTTGAAAGCATTGTTTCAATTCTTTTAAACGTTCATTTTTTTCATTGCTTAAGGCTTAATTTCTCCTCTTCATGATCTAGATTTTTCCACATGTCTCCTTTATCTTCTCCGTTTGTGTTTCAGATATATATCGGCCACATAGTGAAGTATGGAGCAGCAGATGAGGATGGACGCCTGCGGTCTGGAGATGAACTGATATGTGTGGATGGCACAGCAGTTGTGGGAAAGTCGCACCAGCTTGTCGTGCAGCTGATGCAGCAGGCTGCAAAGCAGGGCCATGTGAACCTCACTGTGCGACGCAAAACCAACTACGCAGGTAAGAGGGATCCAGATTTAAGGGCAGCTGAGCTGAGAGATTGGCTTAGAGGTCCAAAAACGTAAATTCACACCACACGCATAGGCCTTAACTCTGAGAGAGAATTAAAGTGAATACACTAAAGACACAAGACAGGTTTTAAAGGTCACATATTGTACTTCTTTTTAACAAGTTTAAATAAGTCTTGGAGGCATGACTGTAAAGTTTATTGCTAAAAGTCCACCCTGATCCTATATTTGATCATACCTATAAACCCCTCTATTTCAGCCCTGCTCAGAACAGGCTGTTTCTGTGTCTGTAGCTTTAAATGATCTGTGTTTGACCCCCTCTAGAAGGTCTTAGGTGGCTCGGGATTTCTCTCTCCATGCCCAATTGTTTACAGTGAGAAGCCGGACACAGAGGGCAGAACAAACACCTAGCTGTGGGAGTGTCACCCACATGGGGGAGGGGTTACTGCCCATTGTGATGTCACAAAGGGAACATCTCCAAACGTCCTGTTTGAGCACACATTTTCTGAAAAGTGGAGGCAAAAGATGGGTAGGATAGATATTTTGCAAATTGCATAAAAAGAAAGAGCGAGTAAATGACAACCTTGGTAACAACAAGCCGGGGTTAATACTAAAGTACAAGCAATTCTGGCAGGAGCGCACATGTTGAGTAAATGAAAAAATACAACAGAAGGGCAACTATTGTGTCTCTTTACAGTCTAGCCTAACATACTTGTGTTGAACTGAAGAAGTCAGTTATATAACCTTTTCCATCGTACCACGAGCAACCAAAATCTAATGTCATGCAGCACGAGACACAGCACACAGTAAAGTTGGTGACGTTTGTAGTGTCTTACTCTAACTTAACTCTTCATCTGACAGCTCAGACTGATTGCTTCATCTTGTTCCATTAATACCTGAATATCCAGAATGGATCTGCTGTCAAAACATAAAGAAAATGACTGTTGTATTTTTGTTTAAGGGCTCACTCTCAATGAACAGTCACATTGAGAGGTGACAGTTGTGACAAATTTATTGCATTTCCTGTAGCTCCCTCAAAGTAAAAGCCTCTCTGGCTTTCATCTGTTAAACTCTTGTGATGTAAGGTATGAAAAGCTGGTTGTTGCGTTTACATTAGCTAAAAAAGTAATTCAGAAATGCATGGTGACTTCTTTCCAGTGAACCCAGCATGACTGTGAAGCTAATTTAGGTTCAGTACGTGACAATTAAAAGTAATATAAAGAACTTTATTTAATACTGTGTTAATAAATTACTGGGTAGCTGTCTGGTATGATTTTAGGTAAAATTTCATTCAAAATCTTTGTAAAATTAACCTCTTCTGTTCCTTATTTTAACCTTTTGATAAACCCCATCAATGTCTTTATCTTCACTTGACATTAAAGAATGGTATGTCTTAAATACTCACAACATATGTTCAGATTAAAAGATTACTTTTCCAAATAAAAACATATTCCTGAAGTTGCACTAGACTTCATAATATCATTACAGCCTCAGCTCAACAGTTCAACAAATGTTCAGTAGCTGAAAAGCATCTCGTCATGGCTCCATCTATTTTCAATGCAGTTCCTTCAGGGACGTGAGGGACATGCTTACTTTGGGCAAGGGCAGCGTCCTACTGTAATAGTCTGGGTGGGTAACACTAGGAAGTACTCGTCCTCCAAAGCAAGCACCTCCACCCCCAACAGGCGATAAAGAAAAGCCTATAAATATGATGGAGAGCGTGGTCAACCTTCGGCACCGATGTACGCAGCCAGACATTAGTGCATTGCTGCTCCCCGTCTGCCTCAGAGCGTCCAGAATATGAGGCGCCTTCCTCAAGCAGCTGTACAGGAAATGAAATGTGGAATGAAATGTCCAGATACACCAGGCGGAGCGTGTTTAGTTCATCTTTTGTTCAAAACAGATCATGGGGGAGATAGTTGAAGAGGCTCTTATCCATAAGCTGTCTTGCTGCCTTATCTTTTATAAAACTAGATGTGTTACGTGGAAAAGACATTACAAGAACTTTTTCATTTTCATGTTATTCATGATAAAACCCTGTTAATGTCAAATCTTAACAGTTTTGTTCTAATGTTATCTTATATGTTATCTTACCTTATTATGCAAAGGTATCTTACTTTACTTCAGCTCATTCAACAATAGCTGTCTTCTTTTTTATCGACAGTGTTTGTCTTAATTTACCTCCTAGTCTTTTATATAATTTACTGTTTACTGTCTCCCTCTGAATATGTCTCTGTCACCGTTTTTCTTCTCCCACCTCCACCACTGTACATGGTCATTTTTTCTCATCTTATCCTCCGCTTCTATCTCTAGTGAAAGCAGAGGGAGATGTGCCTCCATCGCCTGCGTCCTCCCATCACAGCAGTAACCATGCGCCCAGCCTAACGGAGGAGATTGGAAAGCGCACCCCGCAGGGCAGCCAGAACTCCCTCAACACAGTCAGCTCCGGCAGCGGCTCCACCTCTGGCATAGGCAGCGGGGGAGGAGGCGGAGGGGCAGGAGGCAGTGGTAACGCTGTGGTCGCCACTGCAGCTGCCACCACCTCCTCTCAGCCCCCCATCGCCAACTCCACGGTCTCCTCTGGCCTGCAGCCCTACGACGTAGAGATCCGACGTGGTGAGAACGAAGGATTCGGTTTTGTGATCGTCTCCTCGGTGTCGCGGCCTGAAGCTGGCACCACCTTCGGTAAGAGATGTCTCATTATTCTGTTTAAAGTGTTCAAAAACAAATCTCCCTGCACACAGATGTTGATTGCCTATGCAAATATTGCAGTTCCACTCAGCAAAACATGCAACAACAACAATTCCTTAACACAGCGGCCTTTTATCTTCTCATCTTCTTCTTGGGCTGGCTTTGTGTCATCCATAAAACCTCTGAACTCCAAATAGTCTGACATCAGACTCATTCTCTGGTTATTTACAGTCCCAACCCGATCAATACAAACACTCTTCAAAGAAGTGCTTCTTTTTTTTTCTCTACTTTCGCCTGAGCCTGTCAAACCACGACACTGAAACCCTTTCTTTGCCTGCAGCTGCTGCTTCACTCACACACAGCTTTCATAATTGATCATAAGTGAAGTCGGTCTTACATAAGGCATCTGTTTAATTCAGCTGAACCTAAATGGCTTCTGTCGATGGCAGGTCGCTAAAAGCCTAATGACAACTTAATGAGAAAGATAAGAGTGCTGCAAATAGGTTAAATGGGAAGTAATGATAAGTGTGTAATCTGTTTATTTAGAATATGATCTGGGATCAAAGTGATTCGCTGACTCTTGATCAAGTTTTTAGGTCATTTTGAGTCACTAAGCTAATAGAAAATAACCGTAATGAGTAAGCTTTAAATTAAGCCACAAACTTTCTCACGTATAAATCTGTTAAAATGACTCGACTTTGCTTTTTTTCAAACAAGTGGTGTCTTTTCTGAGCAGGTTATTTTCTGTGCTGTGGCTTTCCCGCTACACTACTATAGCTTCCTACTCTTCTTCAGGCTCTTATCTCAGTGTGGGTGGACTGAAAGAGGCCTGAAAAAGCTCAACTTTCCAGTTTGGCTGACAAAGTGGCAAAGCTCCTTTTTTTTCCCCCAGGCCACAGTAGAAAGCCCAGCTCTGATGTGTACACTTTATTTGATTTGACCTGACGTGCAATATCTCATAGGGACCCATTGACCACATGAAAGTTTCACACTCAGTTGTTGCATCAGCTCATAGCAGTGATGGAGTCAGAAGTGCGTCCACTTACACTTTTGTGTGTGTGGAGAAGCACTTCATTTTTTGTTCGGATGCAACAGCACCTCTGCCATTCTTTTTCTCCATCATTTATTTTCCACTCAATATTTTACTGCTCAATTCAGTTAAAGAGGCAGACGGAGGTTGAGGTTAGATGGGTTTTTAGTGGAATAACAAAGTGAAACAGTAAAAAAGGAATAAATAAATAATATTGAATAAAGATCAAGAAAGAAAAGAGTGATTCTAACTGCAGATCTGAGGTCAAACTGCAGACAGAGAGAGAGGGTGGGGGGGGGTAGAGAGACCTGAGGGTAGTTTGTGAGGTGTCAGCTCTGATGTATGTTTATGAGCTGAAACGTTCTGCAGGTGTTTGGGATGCAGGCAGCACAACACAGATTTTTCATTATTATCCTTTTCTGCCAAGAGACTCTCATGCAAATATAATAATGACACCCCTTTTCGAAATGTGTTCCTGTAGCAGCTTGAGGTAAAAAAGAAGGATGAGAGAGAGGGAACACATTGGATATATATTTTAGCTCAATTTTTTTCCAATAATTCGTTTGAGAAAGACATCTGCAGCCGAAGTACTGAAACTTTAAATATGCCATGTTCTCCTTGTTCTTTAGAGAGCACACACACTTCTCTGCCAACGCTTGCATTTTATTCTGATCAGCACCTCTCAGTGACTTTGCCTGGCTTGATGCTGTCGGTGAATTAACCCGTAAACTTCTTATTCTCTTGTTCTCTGCTTATTTCCCAACTCCCTTTCCTTTTTTTCCTTCTCTCTCCAAACGCAATCCAACAACCATTCAACTACACACACACACACACACATGTACTGAATCACGCACCATAACCTGTCAATGGTGACCATAGCTGGCAATGCATGTGTGGCAATGCCCCACAAAATAGGGCGTATCATCGAGGGGAGCCCGGCAGACCGCTGCGGGAAGCTGAAAGTTGGCGACCGCATCCTGGCCGTGAACTCGTGCTCCATCACCAACAAGTCCCACTCCGACATCGTCAACCTCATCAAGGAGGCTGGGAACACTGTCACGCTACGTATCATTCCCGGAGATGGTGAGTACAGACTTTACAAGCTAGTTTGATCACAAAGTGTGATTTTATTTGTATTAAAGGGGAACTCAGCAACCTCAAGGGTCCTTGCATTAACTTGGATTATGGTTACCTGCACATTCTAACAATATCCCACTCAGGTTGTGTCCTACAGCCAAAATTCTTATTTATCTGAACAACTGGTCAAGATTTTGATCACGAATGGGGTCAGGAGTTTTTCAAGTTGCTCTGCTCGTTAGAAAAGGAATGGCATCAACATGTTGGTTTAGTTTTGTACCAGAGTCTATTTAAGGTGCAGGACATGTCGTCCTGTCGTCACTCAGTGGTTAATATGTATGCTCATAGTGTTATACCAAATGTTCAGTTTCTTACTTGCTTTCATAGTGAGTGGAACATTGATGACAGAACTTCCTCTTTGGGGATATCTGGGAGTCTTTCCAGTCTTTGCATTTCTGCCTTCAGCATGCCTGCACTTCAAAAAGTGAGGGATAGGTGTGTACGTGAGTTTGTGTGTATGGTGTCTGAGAAAGAGAAGAAAAAAACTTCCTCCATGATGCTCTGCGATGTGGGTGTGTCTCTTATGACAAATTGGTTTTAAGGAAAAGTTTGTCTACTTTTTCTGTGTTGCGGTGCAGCCGAGAGCTCTCGCTTCTTTGTGCTGACAGATCAACCCGGCATGCTTCACAAATACGGTTTAATTCAGTGTGTGTGCGCGTGTGAGAGGAAGGCGATACTCCCTGTCAACCTGAGCACTGGTAGAAATTGGAGCGATTTGTCCGCCGCTCGTTGCTTTCCGGCTCACTTCTTATTGATGAAGAGGGTTTTTTTTTTTTTCCTTTCTGCAGAGCGGTTGATGAGAACAGTATGCCAAAATTGCTCTGCCTTGAAGACCAGAGAGCAAGAGAGAAGGCATCAAAGAGGAATGACTGGATATGCTTTATCAGAAAGTTTTTGCTTTGTGTTTATGTGCATGTGTCAGACAAACAGACGCTGGCTGTCACAGACGCAGAAAGTGACAGGAAAAAGATTGTGGCTTGTACTCGAGTTGTGTCTCGGAGTGTTTGTTTTCTCTGCTTCTGTTTACAAGAGACTGCGCATGGTTATTTTTTGTGGCAATCAATCCCGTCTAAACTTTCTGACATGAATAAACACCGTCAGAAGAGACTCTCTCAAGGTGAAGTCAGGTTCAGCTCCTTTCCAATAAGCTCACCTCTCCCCTGTGTGGGAAAGCAGTCAGAGTTTTGTAGTGATGGATGCTCAATACTTCTGCAAAGACAGGGAACCTGCTGGTGCACAGTAATGCAAGCGCAAACAGATAATGCCTTCATCAGAGCGTATGTCTCTGCAGCACAGAGCAGGAACACCTCATTGCTTTCTATTATGTGTGCATAAAGGGAGACAGGCTTTGCCTTAGGTGAAATGATGTGCCTTTTTCTAAGCAAAACCTTGGCTTGATTTTGTAGTTGTATTGTCTCTTATCTCATCTCCCTTTATTTCCCTTTTTCCTCTTTCAGAATTTCTCATTTCGATTCTAACTGCTCTTGTTCCTATCTCGGTCCATACGGCGCAAGAGGGCAGACTGTTCTGTCTGGAGACAAATTACTGAATCAGCTCAGAGATTTCTCCATGCACCATGAATGTTTTTAAAAGCCCGGGTAGAGGAAAAGGCATTGGGTCACAAGGAGAAAGGAAAGACCGAGAGACACAGAGCGAATTTGATTTAATTTACAGACAAAGCACTCAAAAGGAGAGAAACACGGAGAGAGGTAGAGGAAGTGAGGATATTCAAATGAGCAAATGGGTTAACAGTGACAAATTTAAGGTCACGTGCCAGAATTTTTTAAGGCAGCAGTTCCAATCAAAGCTCGCCCCAGCCAGGCTTCTGCTTGAGTGGTTTACTCGGTATCTCATTGGCAACAGGCAATCGAAGAGTTAAGCCAACAGGCTTGGAGGGGACTTGTGGAGGTGAAGGAGATGAATAGATGAAAGGGGAACGACTGCGAGAGGAATAGTGAGTAGGGGAGTAAGCAGAGAGGAGTGGAGAGTTGTAATTAAATAAAGGATACCTGTAAGTCCAAGACAGATTATATTGTTAAGAAGAAGAAAGGATACTTATGCAGAAAGAGTGAATTAATGATGGCCTTTTTTGTCGTTAGAGCCCCGCAGGATTCATTGATAACCAGAAATGATTGAATCACTTAAGATCAAAGACAGAATAATCAGAAGTGCTTACACCCCTTCGAGGAGAGGGGTGTGCAAGGAAATGTACACCGTTTGAAAGAGGAGAAACACAATCAGACAAGTTCCCTGACAAAACGACTGAATGACAAAATGTTATCTATTGCTTTAGTCTGGTGTTAGCTAAGCATTGTAGGAAGGCTTGTGAACTGACGGGGATCCCTGTGGGGCAGCTTACATTTGTTGCAGAAAGCAGCTGAACCTACACTAAATCCGCTAAATGTTCCATGTGTGAAATAGGAATTTAATTCTATCAGACAGAGTCCTCCAGGACACATAATACACTTCTATTAGAGTGGGGTTTTTTAAATGTAATTTATACTTTATTCCATATCAGAGAAATGGAAACGTCAAAATGTAGTCAGTGAAGGATGAAGGTGTTTTTATGTGCATGAGGTAGACCGGTCCCTGAACTGTGTAAAATAATTGTATTTTGCTGTTTGACATAAAAAGCTCAGTTTTGACCAGGCGTCTTTGAGAGCTCATTATCCTCATACCATCGTGTTTCCTTAAATTGGCACACAATGTGTAGCATAGAAATTGATCATAATCAGTTAAACTGAAAACAGCAAAGAGACTCTTTATCTCTTCAGACTGATTTCTAACTGAACTACTTCAATACAGTCTGTTTCAAGCAGCTCGGCTTGATGGGTCAAATGTTGTCCTGTTGGTCCGTCTATCAGCCGGCTGATCCATCAGCTTTGTCCAGACTGAAATATTTAAAAACTGCCACATACATGACATAGGGGACACCCTTTCATGATCCCCAAAGGATTCGTCCCAACGACTTTCATAAGCAAACTTTTCCTTGAGTGCTACATGTATGGTTTTAACTAATATATATATTTGTTATCTGATTATATTCAAACAAATCACACTCTCATTAGTAATAGTTATATTTCATATGTAGATTTATGGGCTAATGTTAGCCTTAGAATATGAACATGGTTGAAATGTTTATCTCTTCAGTAGCAGTTCTGTGCCTTTGTTCAGCATCACTTCAGCTTGCTGGAAACTCTCCATCTTTCTTCTTTAAGGACATTTTGTGAACTTCAGCTGGCAATTAGAAACAGGCAAACTTTAGCACATCATATTAGTGCTTGAAATGTACTTCACTCTTGGATGGAAAAGTCACGACAAACTCCTTCTTCTTCTCCCCTCTTCTTCTTCAGAGTCATCAAACGCCTCTTTGTTGACCAATGCGGAGAAGATTGCCACCATTACCACCACTCACACACCTCAGCAACAGGCTGCACCTGAGGCCAGGTAAGAGGCACATGAGGAAATGAAGCATGTGTTGAATTATGTGTAGTCCCATAAAACGATGTGCAATGTTGGGTTTCTTCAGTGTAAGTGTAGAAAATGTGCTGATTGAATGAATCAATAATGTGCTAAATGCAGACAGAGACTTGATCTCAATTGTTTTTTTCTCTCTCTCTAAGGAACAACACCAAACCAAAACAGGAATCATATGAATTCAAAGCCCCTCAAGCACCTCAAGCACCTCCTCCCCAACCCCCCACACAACAAGTCTCACCTCAGGTAAGGAAGGACACCCCAGTCATCAATTCCATGTGTCGCTTCATTCATACATGAATCTATTTCATGTCTCCATCAAACACCCAAGCAATCTCTGCTCCATTCCATCAGCTTCCCACCCACATCCACATTCATCTCTTCATAAATCCGTCCAGCTGATCAAGCACCCAAACATCATTCATCCTGTGGCCCTTGGTGCATCAACCGATCCACCTCCCCAGCCTTCCAAGGACAAACAGAGTGCTTTTTTAAAATTTATTTATTTCCCCCGTTACAACCTGCTGGCGTTATCAGACTCCATGCATTAAGGAAAGCCTGTTTGCTTTCAAAGTAGCCCCTCAGTCCACTTTTCTCACCGCTGAATTAATCTGGCGGTGTGGAGATAGCTCTCACTGATAGCATTGATCCCTCAGCAGAGGAGATTAGGAGGGCGTGAAGACAGGAGCTGCTGTGGCTGTCTGCTTGTCCTTGTGGTGCCCGACGCTCTCTCCTTCTTTCTCCCTCTGTCTGTGCCCTCTCTTTTTTGGTCCACCCAGAGCCCAAGGCATCAATAATTCAGCATCCTTACACTTGAGGATATGCACATACTCTTACACACACACACACACACACACACACACACACGCACATACACACAGAGTCTGGCACAACTATTAAAAAGGTGTGACTTTCCTGAAGGTGGCATTTGTCCCATGCTCCTGAAATAGAAGCCTAATTCAAAGGACACACACCCCCTTTATATCCGGATCACACATCTTGATGCAAATACATTTTGTGTGTGTGTGTGTGTGTGTGTGTGTGTGTGATGATCTCTGTGTCTATCAGGATTCCGAGTTCTACTCAGTGGACCTGGAGCGAGACAACAAAGGCTTCGGCTTCAGTCTGCGGGGCGGCAGAGAATACAACATGGACCTGTATGTGCTGCGGCTAGCTGAAGACGGGGCAGCTGTCCGCAACGGAAACATGAGGGTACGGACAAAGTGTGACAAACACACCCTGATGATGTCAGCAGGGGGGGGTGTCTTATTTTGGGTGCTAAGACGAGTGTAATTAGGAATAACAGTTGAGTTTGAAAGTTTCATTAATCGATTAACATTATTGAAATTGCAGGATGCAAGCACGAGCAAAACTTGTTTCCAGTCAGTTCATACAATGCAAACAAAAGTCAGGGTATGTCATCCTCAGCTGGATACTTTTTTGATTTTTGAAGGTGTTAAAGTCTATAAAGTCCTTACAGTTATTCACTGAATTTAATATTCTGCTATTTAGTCCCTTGAAATTAGTTAGATGAGTTGAGTTAGATGAGTTAAACCAGTGACTTTGTTGATTAACATAGGGGCTTGTAATCGTGACTCATAGACTTTACAGTCAAAAACAATGTTATCTTTCGCTAAAAATTGTGAGTGCATTAAGTAACCCCAAAAACTGCAAGTTACAAGTCACTGCATATTAACACAGTCGCCTGAAGGCCTCGGTGCGTATCGGGAATGTGTGAGTGCAATATCAAATATCAAAGACTGCAGAGCCATAGAGCATACCTGCTGACAGAATATGTACATGTTAATGAATTAACATGCCTCTAGTTGATTTTAAACGGCCCTTCACACAGACATCATAAATCTGAGATATTTAATTGTAGCTATAATTAATTGCTTAAACTAGGAGCTCTTCCCCTGAGCTGCTTGAATTTACAATAGAGGGTTAATTGATTCTGCCCGTAATATGTTTACATGTGACATATGCAGACTATCTGTTGGCAGATACTGTATGGTTATGACCTATAAAGGAATGTAAGGTGTTTGTGAAGATACTCCCTTTAGGAAGTGTGTGGGTGTGCATGTGTTTCTGCATGCATATATGAATATGGAGTTAGTGTTGTGCACCTTATTAGCAGAGGTATTAATAGCAGAAGCAGCTCTGTGAGGCAAAGAGGTGTCAGAGAGAGATCCATACTCTGCCAGAGAGGAATTCCCTCGGCACAGAGCACTGACAGATAACTTCAGGCATGGAGGCAAATAATCGGGGAAACAGAAAGTGTAACTTCTGGCTCCTGTTATTTCTCCTCTCTCTCTCTCATTTTCTTCTCTCAGCGTCTCAGTTGCTGCTTTATAACGCAATTTGCCCTCTCTGGTAACTCTTGATTTAGAGAGATTTTGTTTTTTTCTGTTTTGGAGTACTCGATATGTAACTTCTTTTCAATTTGTCCTCCCTTTCCCTTCCTCCTGCTGTCACTATTTCCTTTGAACCTTGGTTCCTCTCATCTTTCCTCTTGTGTACTTTCTTTCCCACTGGCACTTGTTTTCCACATTCTGTCTTTTTTCTACTGCCTCCTCTCCTTTTTCTGGCTTTTACTGTCTCTCCTCCTTTCTCTGTATTTCCTCTTCCTCGTGCCATCCTCACCTGTCACTCCCTTCTCTTCCTACCAACTTTTACTTCCTCCTCGCCTCTCTTTCCTTCTTGTTCCTCTTCCTGCCCGTAGGTCGGCGATGAAATCTTGGAGATCAACGGCGAGAGCACGAAGGGCATGAAGCATGCGCGAGCCATTGAGCTCATCAAGAGCGGAGGCCGGCGTGCCCACTTGGTGCTCAAGAGAGGCGACGGCTCGGTGCCTGAATATGGTGGGTCAATCTACGAAAACATTCCCTTCTCCCCCATCTTCACGCCTTGAACCAGGGAACGCCCAGTGGACGGTGGTGGGTCGAAGGGGAAAGAACTATTTTTCCATTCCAGGACCCTTCACCCCTCCCTGGGACACGTCCACCAGAGGAATGGTTGGTGTTGGTTGGTCTTTCTGGTGGAGGTCACTCCTGGGCTTTGGGATTTTTGGGGGTGCAGGGGTGGAGGTTTTCTCCTGTGGGTGCTGCTGCCTCTCATGCTGTCACCTGCTCTCAGTTTCCATGTCATCTCGCTGTCACTTTTCACCTTCTGACCACTGAGCAAAAGCACTCTGCTGGGACTTCACAGAGAGGTGGTGGGTCTGATGTCAGTGCTATATGCTAACAGAAACTGTTTACAGGGTTTGAATGACCAGAGTCGTAAAAATCAATGTTTCCTGTGAGTAAAAAAGTAATGTTGAGGCCTCCTTATTAAAACACTTTGATATTGTTATGAGTAAAGGAAAACTTGATCCGTTCCATCCCATGATAAAATGGGACATCTCTCAGCTTTGGTTAGACGTGACACAGGCATATTTATGATATTTATTGAAGGTGAATGTAAGCTACTGAGCTCTTAAGGGTTGAAAGTGAGAACTGTTCTGAGAAGATAAAGGCGGTCTGATGCTTTTTTTTTTTTTCAGCCATTTTAAAGAGAGAATCTCACTGTACTGTGCTTGACATTACTCACTGATCCATGGATTTTATTTGCACCCACTGTTACTGTAAGTTAAAAGCTGTGACCATAAGAACTCCACCCATCCAGAGTCAAAAAGAAAACGAGTCGCTCCAATTCTATAGACGTTTTTGTACAGTGATGAAAAGAATAGAGGCAAGTATTTTTGTTCCATGTACAGAGCCATGAATTGAAGCCACATATTAATGGATAAAAGTTTATTGCTGCATGAACTTGTCAAAAGTGTACATTGGATTTTTTTTCCCCCTTCTATTGTCTATTTTCCATAATATTTATGGAACCTTTCTTTTTTTAATCGTAATGACCAGTTTTGATTGATAGTCACGAGTCATCATAAATGTTCATTTTGTTACTTTTTATTTGAGTGGAGATGCATTTGCCTGTCCTGAAAAGTTCATCAATGTACTTTTATTTGCGCTAAGAATGTGCTGTCTTAACCTGCACCGATATGGCAACATGTGAACTTGTATATTTTGGATCATTGTTTGTACTTTTTAGTTGGCACAACCTTTCGACAGTCTCACCAGTGTTTCTTTTGATTTCTGTCAGCAATGTAAAACTGCTTCATACGCTGTTATTGTGGGTGTGTGAGTCTCACTGTCTTCTTTGGGGTTTGGGTTTCTGCTGCTTCTGTGTCCACATGTGTAGGTGGGTGTGTGGGTTAGTGTGTCCGATTGTGTGTGCGATTGGTTCCAGGACTTTTCTCTGTAACTGATGATTTCCACTGAAAGGGTTTGGGCAATTTCCTGGACTGTCTCTTTTTCTGAATGACTCAATGATCAAATAAACACGTTTTTTCATTGAAAAATCAACACAATAATTCTCCTTTTCTTCCTTCAAGTTGGTTCCTAGCGATCTAAACCCTGTGCTCTTCTCTTCTGTTTTTTTTGTATCTTCCCTTTTCTCTTTCCTGTATTACGCTGGGCTCTTGTCTTCCTTCAGGGATGGTCGCTCCCCATCTCACTGCATGTATGAGAAATGACAAGATGGGGGAGGCCTCTGTCCTCCAAAATCAGACCACGGTTTGTAACTGTCCTCCCCTGTCGTCTGGCTCTCTCTCCCACTTCCCGTGTCTCTCTCTCTTTCTCCATCCTGATCTCTGTGTGGTATCACCCATGCCCGTGCTCTGCTCCATGCATAGAAATCCATTCACCCAAAATGCATCGCCAGTGCCGCCGCTGCCGTAGCCGCTGTTAAGGATACTGTATGCTTATGTCTGCACCAGTTACATTTAACATTTACCGAATGTAAAATGGGATTTAGGTGTAACTCCTAGAATCCGATAGTTAATGAATTGTGTTTTCTGCTTATATAGACAAACAGGAGGAAGTTCCTTAAGGAGTCACAAAATTAATTTGAAATCAATTATTTTCCTTTAAGGCAAATCACCTCTTTTATGTCTTAGCCGTTACTGCAGCTTAATTAGCCTCAAACATTTACAAAGTGTCTAAGGCATCGTGTCAGTGCATGAAAGAGCATGGCTAATCAGTCCAATCAGGCAGCTTCATTATCATGCAGAACAGGGGCACTCCAACCAGCCCAGTCCAGCAAGCTGAGTCCCTTTCTGCCTCAGAGAGGTGACCTCAGCTCTACCTGAGAACAGGTTTGTTTCATGAAGAAAAAAACAAGTATCTTCAAGCAATGGCTGCCTTTGTGTCACTGCCATTTATTCTCATGTCAGCTACACTAAAGTTTTTCCATTGGCTGTTTTTTTTTTCTTTTTTGCATCTTACAACTAGCCATCTCCGTTGGTATTAACATCAGAACGGCTTCCATTGAAAATGTTCTCAGCTTTATGTCCGAGTGATTGCACATGGTGAAAGCACATAGGAGCCTTTAGAGTCTAGATCCATATTTGATCCCCTGCCCTGGTCTGTATGTCACATTCTCTTGCAGACGGCATCAACGACAACATCTCAGCCATCGCAGCCACAGGGTTACAAAACGCTGCGGAAGTAAGTGACCTGCCAACAACCAACGCACCATCAGAATCAAGTTTCCCACCAGAACCAAACCAGTCATCCCAAAGCGAGAAGGAGCCGAGCCGCCACGCTACTGGTACCGGCAAGCACCACCATTCCAATCATCGCCATCGCTCCCCCAACAAGAAAAACAGCAAAGGAAAACACAAGGGGAAGAAGTCATCAGGCGGTAAAATCAAACTGTTCAAAAAGAAGGATGACAAGGGAAGTGACAACCAACCCCGTTCCAGGGGCCGCCACCGTAGCCGCCATCGTTCTCCAGAGAAGGGGCGGTCACGCAGCGCAGAAAACACACTGGAAAGCCGTCACAGGGGACATCGACACGGGCGTTCACCAGACAGACAACATCGTCACCATTCCCCTAATCGTCGCCACCGCTCTCCTTATCGCTCTCCTTATCGCTCCCCTTACCGCTCCCCTTACCGTTCGCCACACCGCCACAGGTCCCCCCATCGTTCTCGGCACTACTCCCCAAGACGCCATGCCCACTCCTCGGACCCCTACCGTCGCTATGCTTCTCCTCCGAGACAGAGCCGCAGCAACGAGAAGCCCTCAGTGGATGACGCCGTTTTGAAGGAGCCGCCAACGTCTTCAGTGCCCAGAGTCCCTGTGGACGACAGCATCCTCCGTGAGCTGCCAGCCCTGGACCGCCTGAACCGGGAAGCCACACTCCCTCCACTGCGCAGAGAGGATCGCCTGTTTGCAGATGACAGCCTGCTGTTGAAAGCGTCCTCCATGGAGAAAGCCTACAGGGGGGACAGCTTGCTGAGGGACGTGGCGTCGGGCAGTTCGAGGAACGCCTACGGAGACATCACCTTGCCCAGAGTGCGTACCCCCGACTCAGATTCCGCCTACAAGAGATACAGCTCGCTGCTGAGGGGACGCTCACCTGACAGGAGGGACGGGCTCTTCGCCAGACGAGGAAGCTCCCCCGAGCCGCAGTACCGAACCCGCAGCCTGGGGAGAGACATCTCCCCAATCAGGAGCGACACAAGGGGAGACTCGGAGGACGAAGAGGACGATGACAACTTTGTAGCAGCGAAGGTGAGGGAGTACTACAGCACGCTTCAGACCAACACCAGTCGCTCATCCAAGGCCACACTCCCCGAGCCCAAGAAGACCCACAAGACAAACCCCAAAGACCTGAGCATCTGATTGGACGCTGTTAGACAATAACAGCACCTAACCACAATACACCTCAAACACTTACTTTTAATACCATTTGGTTCAACAGAAATGCATCCAATTATGAACTAACAAATACATACACACACCAGACAACACTAACTTAAATGCTTTCAGAAACTGAAATACTTACACACACACACACACACACACACATACTAAACACACACATGCACATTATGTAACATGTTACTAACAAGACAGTGATTCTAAAATTACTTTTGGGAGCTGTTTTTTTTTCCTTTTTTTAAATTCTTTTCCTTTTTCTTGTTTTTGGTTTAGCATTCTACATTTACAGTAAATAACAAAGTTTTCCAGAAAATGTAAAACCATAAAAAACAATGATGTGCCTAACAGTTCCATTAACAACAACAATTTGATTTCCATTTGATACCTGACGAGCATTTTGTGCTGCAGTCGTTGTCAGATGATGAATGGATGTACTTTTCCACAAGGAACCCATGGGAGTACTGCGCACCCAGATCACTGTAACGGGTGCTCACAATGATGCTGTGCATGTCTTTACCGGTTTCAATGTCTCTCTCTCTATCTCTCTCTCTCTCGCTCTTGCTCTCTCTCACTCACTCTCTCTCCCCAGTGCCACTGTTTTTTAGACATTTGACCAGACTATAGCACAAGCCTGCATTTGTTTGTATATTTTTGACAGTTTGCAGTATGTGTACATTCAGAGGTGATCATTTTAAATGAAGGAAGGGGAAATTAAAAGTTAAACTATGATGATGATGTTAAAATAAAATAATATATTCAACAAATAAAAGAGCGTGTGGTTGTTTTGGTTTGGTCTCTGTTGGATTTTGATTTGAATCTCTGAAGTTCTTAACAGTACAGAAATGGAGTCTGAAGTGTGAAAGCAGCAGAGGTAGATATTGGGTGGCAGGTAGAAGGAGATTGTGGAGCACTGAGCTCTCATCATATGGGCAAACGAAAAAAGACTAGAAGACTGAAGAGGCTGACGTTGTTATCTCAGGCCTCCCATAAGTGTGGATCTGAGTGTGAGAGGATTTGTGGATAAGTCTTTGAAGAAAAGTAAAGCAAAGAGCTTCCATCCTTTCTCAACATCAAAGCCTAGATCGAGCATAGAAAAAAATGTTCCTCCACTCCTCCTCTCTCTGCTTTCTTTGATTAGAGCGGTTTCAATGGCCCACTTTTCCGGTCGTCCTCAACAGTCCTTCCTCCTTTATTCACTCTCTTAGCTAAACATTTTTACACTCACTGAAGAAGAAAAAAATGACTATGAAGCTGCATCCATATTTCATAACAGTGGCAGAAATATATGGGTGATGACACCAAGCTGTGTGCACTATTTTATTTCCCCTCCAGAAACAACAATGGATGGAGGAGTGAAAAAGCAGAACACAGAGTGGTCACTCTTGGCGACCTGTGAACAGCAGGGATGTGCTACTGCAGAAAAATGAAATATTTTCTCTAGTATTGCCTGATGCTGCAGGATTTACAGGCAGAGGAGGTGCTGCATGAATCTGCAGCTGCTGGATTTAGTCCAACGACACACTTTTTTTGTTTAACTTTTATCTTTTCAGATAATATTTAATGTCATTCACTTTCAAGATTCAACCGTTGTCTTAATGTTGGAAAACACCCAATGGTTCTTGAATATTTCAAAGTCTTTTTAGGTGCAATTTAACCTCCTCACAGCCTCGCGTTGGATGCATGGATGTGTGCTCAAACATGGGCTGAAATGAGGATTTTCATAGCTTACCTAGTTTTTGCAGCACATGCCAACGTACTCGATACCATATGTTGAAGAGTATGCATTCAAGATTACCCACTGGACACAAGCTGCAGCTCATGAGAGGAAATGGGAAGCAGAGATGAGGCATCATGATCAAACACTTAACAGCTTCTTTTTTTTTGGCCCAGTTTCTCTGCGATTCAACAGGGCCTCAGTGCGTTTTACTCCTTTTGATGCAATGATCTGAAAGTGTTTTTACATGACCGCATTTATGAATTTGGCTTGCTGTGCCAGTATGAGCCACATGCATTGCAACTCATTGTTTTAGGATAATTGATGATAAAATGCAAGTGGCACAGAGAGATCGTTCTGTAAATTTGGACTTCTACATGGAATCTTTATCACAATTTGTCCTTTATCTTGTAAGAAAGGGCTTTTATGTAGGGCAGACTGCGGACCACAAAGAAGAAACACAGAAGAAATGTTTGTATCCTGCACACACTCTCCTTGTTCTTCTCTTTCACAGTGAAGGGGAAGCAGCTCTTAAATAATGGATGTAATCCACTTTCGAGCGCAGAAACACTCCCCTCTCTTTAAATCTCTCCCTCCCTCTTTATCAGGACACACTCCACTCCTTTTCATCATGAACTGCAGGAACACAGCTCCATGTTTTATTGCTTGTGCGACCCCAGAAATGATTAACAATCCTTGTCTGGTAACAATTCATCATGTCAGTGCCAGGCAGGAGGATGAGACCGTAATGAAATGTCCAATAACAAAACGACTACAGCCCAGCATGGTGACGGCCCACCGGGTCAAGTCTCCATTCTCCCATCCGCTCAGCTTCAGGTGCTTTCGCGCCGACCTTGGAGTCCCTCTGCTCCACAGTTGCCATGGAAACACCTATGCAAAGAGCTCTTTCCGCAAGCTGACTGGAGAAGACAAGAGTTGTAGAAGCGTAAACAAGGCGGAGGTAGAGGAGTAAATGAAAAGAAAACAACAGTGCAGGGTTATTTTTGGTTGTGTGTGCTCAGGATTTCAAGATGCGTTCACTCGTGAGAGGGATAAAGTTTTAGTTACTTTTCTCAAAGGAAGCTTGGCATCCTACATAACAAGCCTGTTGTGGTTCACCGGCTGGCATGCAGTAGCTGTCCTCATACTATATCTGTCTCATGCTCCACTGCATGGAAAACTGGCCAATTCAGGATGAGGTGTGGTGGAGCGACATGTGTTGTTGGTGCTCAAATGCTCTTCTATGTAGTGTATTTTGCTTATCAGGATTTCAAACACTAAACTAAAAAGGATATGCTCTGTAAACAGGTAAAGTGTGGGGCTATTCAAGTGGCAAGTTTCATTTAATGGAAAGTTAGAAAAGTGCTAGTGCAGTTGTCACACAAACCAATAAACTGTAAGCCAACCATGGCCACCGACACTGGATTACAGTCAGGCATTTTTAAATAAATTGGAAATTTTTGTCCTTTAGTTGAAAACACCCAGATTTTAATTTTATTCATGGTCCTAAATTCATAGATTTGGGGACACACATCAAATATCCCAGCTATTTGTCCAGCTGGTTGTTTGGCGTGTTCTTCAAATCTTTACAGATTTAACAAATACGTGACACTTGCTTTAATCCTGCCGCTGGAACACTTTAATGATTTTTCTGTTTTTACACCTCCAAACACAAGAGGAAGCATTTATCCTGTGGGTGTAGGTAAAGAGACTATTTTAAGGCCGAAATGGCGCATGCTTTTTGTATATTGTCCAGTTGAAAGGTACAGTATGAGCATGCTAATGCTAAACTTTGAGATAAAAAAAAACACCACACAAAAAGTAAGGACATTTGAGTTTTGTAAATTATTTCTTTGTTGTAACAATACTTCTTAGCAATGAATCTTATACCATTGGAAAGCCTGTTTATTTCCCTCTTAAATGGTGCCACATTTGTAAGGAAGAAGGAAGCTGGGGATCGAGCCCTCGACCTTCCAATTGACAGAGACTGAGCCGCAGCCGTCCCATAGGTTAAACATTTCAACTTGAATCACAAATCTGTTTGATTCTGTGTCCTGGAAGCCAATCAGCATTTAGATCTGCCGACTACCTGAAATGCACCGATCTTTTTCTTCTCTGACCTGACAGACATGACAAAGTTTACATTTTTACTTTACAAATCTGCATCAAGATGTTTTTAATTCTGCAAATCTATTACCCGTTTATTTAAAAAATGAATTACAAGACAAGTGGTTTAATGTTCGGGCTCATAATGCTGAGTGAAGCCACTAATATACTGTTGAACTGAGACTGGACTGATGAACGAGGGATGCTCTTGTATGTTATGGACTAAGAATTGACTGCGTTTATATTGCAGACGTAAAAGCCGCCCAGTAAAATAACGTATTGCCTGAAAGTGTTTAAGGGCTAACTACCGGCTTCACCGGAATATTTGAGAAATTTGCATCCATTCCCAGAGGTGTGTCATCTATCAGACAATGATGGATGACGAGTTCCATGATTGAGCCTTGAATAGGTATGACCTTGATGAGTGAGAGACCTCACAGATTGTGAGCATGTTAGTGCTAAAATGTTAGCATTTAGCTTTTTCCAATTTTATTCAAAGAGCCTAACCGACTGTTCACTTAGCACAGCTGTTAACTAGTTTTCCTTACAATCAAACAATAATTTCTAGTTCAGATGTTACTCCTGGGTTAAACAGATGATATTGCAGCTCTACTCAGTGCCAAAGACGGTTAAAGCATTTTTAGCACATCGATTTATTACCTAGTGGGCAGAACTTTATTGTTTGGATCAACTCTCACAACACTTGGCATCTAAATGTAAAAAGGTCCAAAAGATGTGGTTATCAATTAACTTTACCTAAAAAAAATCAGAGGTGCAAAATGAACAAGTAAAAATGCTCCTAAATATGAACTTTTTTGTGTTTCTGTGTTGTGCTGGTCCTACTCCTGTCGTCCATCTGGGAGCAGTCAAAAGCCACTTTCCCCTGGTAAAAATCTTTGAACAGCAATTCATGATGGCATATGTTGCTTGGATAGTTACTACCGACTGTACACTACTTTTCACAAGGCATTGTGGGATACAATGAGATGAGATGAGATTCAACTTTATTGTCATTACACATATACAAGTATAGAGTAATGAAATGAGGTTTGGCATCTCACCAGAAGTGCAAATAAGCAGAAAGTGCAAGAGTCTGTGCTATGTACAGTAATTACAAAATTTACAGATGTAGACTAAAAAAAGTGAATTATTAGGTATATATGGATGGCTGGATTAATGGGATGCTATAAATATAAATAAATGCTATAAATACAATGGGTATATGGGTATGATCATGCTTACTCAGAACTTGGACACCACTACAAAATGTCATATTCACGATAGAGCACACTGCTATATGTAGCGAGTGGAGTGTGTGATTTCAGACACAGCCTTAGGCTCTGTTTTTCTAACCCGATAACCACAGCAGTGTTGTTTGTCTTAGCTTTCTGCTCATTTTCACAGCAGACATTCTGATTGGTCACAGTGAGAAAACCACAGGTGTTACTAATAAGGTTAACGATGGCTCTGCTTCCTTAAAGTGACCAAATAAGGCATGACTGTAACAATGATAGTCACAATACAAGGACCCTTCATGCCCTGTGATTATTGTAATCATTCCCACCTGTGCTCCTCCTGATGTAATGTTTAAAAAAACTATGAAGAGAAAAAGCTTGCTAATGCAGGTTTAAGGAGAGTATCTGGAATTTATGGTTATGAAAACAGTTTTTTATTGTGAAGATATTTGAACCCATGGTGGAGGATTTGTTTTACTACTTAAAGCAGTGGACTATGCTGAGCTGTAAGTTACATTTGAAAAACTGTTAATGCATCAGAGTAAGTCTGATTAAATAGACTCAATCCTTGAGTGGCAGTACTCCAAAAGATGGGGTTGGACAGGCTTCAGAGAAGGAGGTTTCATGTCCCCTCACTCACCACTGCAGCCACTCCTTTCGAGATGTCAGGACACTGAACTTAGCACTGAGGCGTCACTCCAGGCTTG